GCAATGCCATTTGTTGATAAATTGTTTATATTCTTAGTAGAGAATATTTTTGCTGTGAAAATGCTGATTAAATCTGTTCTGTGACCCACAAGTAATACAGAGTTTCTGCCACAGTGGTTGTCATGCTTGAAAATGACAGGTAATGCATCATACTTGAGGTAGAAAGAAAATAAAGTATGAGTCTAGTGGCACTTGTGGGCATTTCCCTATGAAGACAGAATATATATATAGAAAATGAATGGCTCTAGGGGAGTTCCAGAATATTCATTGTCTAGTTTTACTTGCACAGCCCATGGCTTCAATTTTATGTTGCCTATGCTATGTTGAATGTAGCTAAATAGGCTTAGTGCTGTTGTTTATGATTTATTAGCAGACATGCCAAGGACAGTCGTTCTAAAACAAGTGATGGATTGATTGCAGTGGGACCTGGGCAGGTTTTGTCAATTTGTTTTTTTGCACATTAAAAAAAAAACAAAAAACAACTATGCCATTTTTCTAAAACAAAAAAAATCTCATTTTGTACGAACCCAATTCAAAAGGAAATTTGTGAATAAATTCAACACCCTTTTTGTGTTCCAATTTGCCTAAAATGCACCATTTAATTTGTTGTTTTATGAAGAAAGTTTCCAGAAAGTTTAAGAGTCCTAATGATCTGTAAAATGGCACATTCACCTCTCTCATATTCTTGTGAACAACACCACACTAAACAGGAACAACTTCCAGCATATTCTATTTCAAATGGATATGTTTCAGTGATTTTGTCATTTATGAAAGTTAACTCAGGATGGAAAGAAGAAGAATAAAATTAATGTCAATTGTACTTTCCATTGAGAAGTTCAATATTTAAAATGGAATCAATGGAATTAGCCTACAGTTCAAACTATCATGTATAAATGTATAAATACAGCTATATATATAGCTATATATAGCTAGTATGATATCTTAATAAAACTATTATTTAGTAATATTTTGGTTACTAGTGGACTAGTGTTCATAGACAGTAAAATTAGGGATATTGATTACTAACATCAGTACTATATTAGAAAATACAGAGCAGATTGTATTTCAATTTGATCCAATTTGGGTTTATCTTGATAATAAGTTTTGCCTATGAAGTTATTCTCCTGTTTATTTCATCTTCTTTTATGATGAAAGAAGAAGAAAAAATTCCTAATTCTAAATATAGAAAATAAAATTTTAATTATAGAACACTTTGTTTATATCTAAAGATATATTTATTTCAAATAAATTGAAAACATATCCTGGTAAAAATAGAAGTAAGGTATTTTGTCCAGGTGTTTTCTTTCAAATAAAAAGAAACATGCTTTACCATTATCTTCTTCCAAAATGTTATTTCAAGTTAATATTTTAGTCTATACTGTAGCTCTGGGAGCTGTTGATATTCTTCTATAAGTGTAACTTGGTATTTTTAAATACCATCATTAGGTATACTAACACTACCTGCTATAAAATGGCTTTCATTTAGAAACATCTTCCAAGACTGTGGTGAGAGTCACTTTCTGCTGACAGTAAACCTGCCATCTGTTATTTATTCTGCTCAAGAGCTGTAAAAAGCAGTAGCATATGCAACCATTAAGATCAGCAATTATCTTCCACTCAGTGATGGGCCAGCCTTAAGGACTTTTGATGATGGCAGTAAATGCTGCTCTGTCAATCTTGTATAAAATAGGCTGGGGCAATGTGCATAAGGACACCACAGTTGCTGTTTTCTTCCTGAAAGTAAGAAAGGTTGCTTGCATCCTTCCAGGTCTTTTCTGGTGAGAGAAAAGCAGCTGCAGGAATGTTGGGCTACCAAAAAAAAAAAAAAGCAAATAAAGTCAACAATCTTTGTTTTTGCTCCTCTTAGATGCTCCTGTTTAGGCAGACACACCATAATCTTTTAGAAGACTTTTAATTTCATTATCCTCAATTATGTTCTCATGGTCTGCCATGACCTCTTTTTAATTATGGATTGTTTCATCTGTAAGCTGCTCAGAGTCATCAAGGAGTCAAAGGGGCCTTGAAACTGGATGGAAGGGAAAGAAGGAACGAAAAATGGTGGCTCCATCTGTACAACTCAAGTCCTCCTGCCCCCTTTTTAGATGCACTGCAATGCTGCTAACTGTGCTCAGGAATTTGGGGGATGGGGAATAGTATGAATGCCAATGTACATATCCTAAAGAGTGCTAAAACTCATTGTTTCATTTTCAGGAAAAGCTGAAGAATGATTTTTAAATTTGGAAATGACACTCTTCTTTCAGACAATTATTTTATTTCACAGCAAAAATTTAGAGATTTTCATAACAATGCTTGTCATTTGACATGTGCACAGTATTAGAAACAAGATTCTAAACAGGAAAGTTTAAAAAATCACAAAGTTGATTTCCTTAAAACTGCAGCTGTTCAACAGTCCTAAAATAATTGGGTTTTGCCGTGTCAGAGTATTTCTAATGAGTATTTCTTAGTGGCATGCAGTTTCTTTTAATACGCTGTAGAGAGTTCACTCTTCATGGAACAGCTGGGTGGAAGAGCAATAGCCTTTTTTCCCTATACATCAAAATAGATAGATGGAAAGGCAGTCAAATACTTTATTGCAGTTATATACCAGCTCAGAAACAAAAGAAAAATATATGACAAGTAAAAACCACAGTAAAAGCCAGTAATGATAAAACTGGTGCGATTGATGTGACATTTTTTTACAAATAGTAAAACAAACTTAGCCATGTTAAGAAAAATTGGTTCAGAGCCATACAGTTATATTGTACAATTAAGTTGCATAGTATAGTGTTTGTTGAAATGTTGAATTATGACTATACAAATCACCTGAAAAGATCACCAGTTCAACTCCATTTATCAAGTAACAGCTGGGTACTATCCAGAAGCATGTCTAATGTGCACGATTAAAAAATAGTTTTAAAAAGCCCCCCAACCTATACTAAGCCTGAATTGTCTACATGCAAATGCTACTTCCTCTCAAAACTGTATAATAGACAATTAACTCTTCTAATCAATTGTCTGGAACCCAGTGCAGATGGTTTGTAATGAAGGTAGAGGGAACGACGTGAAGTCAATATCCAAAACACCGTTGCTATTTATTTGTAGGATAGCTAACAATTAGTAGGAAACTAATACAGTTCAGTAAAAGTAGATAGAAATACAGTTCAGTAAAAGTAGATAGAAATCCATTACAAATCCATGCAGTATTTTTCATATGCACATCACATGCAAAACAAACTATTTAAATCTGAGTAAGGTTCCTCAATTAGACCCTCCATGAATGATAGGAGAGAATGATGCTGGGAGCAATTAAGAGTGGCCGTCAATTGTTTTGGCTAGGATTGCCTTTCCCCTTCTTTCACTCAAGACCATGCTGACAATTTTCCAAAGTGCATTTAAACATTATTTTGATACTTTTCTTCCCTGGGACGGTTCTGTTCCATGTATCACTCTTTTTAAAAAATGGTGGTGAAGAGCTAAAAATATGTTTATTCTTTCTAATGTTATTAATTGTCACCAGAATATCATTTATTTTTTCATGTACTACCAACTTCAGTCAACTCCAGGTGGTTTACAGCATTACCTAATCTAGCTGATACAGTGACATTCATGAGATATAGAAAGCCTGGTCAAATCAATAGATTCAGTATAATAGTCCAAACATAAGACTTCAGTGATTATCAATACTACCTTATTCAAGGCCTATGTCTAAACTGTGTAAAAGCACTCCTGACTTAACTACATCTGGGCATTCAGGGGCAAATCTGATTTTTAAAGAGAATTCAGTTATGTCCAATACAGATTGATAATCTGAAAATATATGTCTGCCAACATGTCTGTGGAGTTTCTCAATCATCCAGGTCATGGTTGTCCCAAAGGTGCTTTTCCAAAAGACACTAGACTTCTTCAAGAAAGTCCAGTTACCTTTTGGAAAAGAGACCTTTGGATGTCTGCCAACAACTTTTTTTTCCTTGTGTATTAGATTAAGGTTCTGTGATTCATTCACTTCATCACCTTTTTAAAATTTATTAGCATTTTATTTATTTCTATATTTTTATCAATGCTTATCAGATTCTTGCTCTTTATTCTGAGCCAGTTCATCTTTTTAGATAGACTTCAAAAGTATCTCCTTGAGTATTGTAGCATCAATCAAGAATTCCAAAGGCAACAATGGCCATATAGGGTGGGTTTTTTTTGTGTGTGGAGAAATTCTACATTTTATTAAATCCTGAATCCCCCATCACAACAAACTACCATAGACAATGAACAACAATAACACTGGTTATGAAGAAGTCTACCTTGATTATGGATTGCTGAAAACTATTCCTCCCAGTTTTAGGCAAATGTCAAAAGATCATAGAAAGCAAGATGAAATATGGTCTTGAAACACACGTGGCAAGATACTGAATAGCACTGTGTTAATTTATATTAATTTATATCATGAAAACTGCATGCAAAATGCAAAAAGGAGAACTATAGTGGAATGAAAATAATTTATTACTATTGATATTATTTTCACTTTCAATGTTCTTTCTGAGAAGAGTCGAAGTAATGCAGTTTTATATTCTTTGAATCTTATTTGATTTGTGTTTATTTCCTTGAAGAATAATCAACCTAACCTTAACCCATACCATTTTCTGGAAAACCCTTGAAATAATCTAAACTAATACTGGAATAAAATTTAAACCAGAATCCAAGGTTGATTTAATGCAGCTTTTATGGTACCTTACAGAATATGAGTCCAACACACTACAAATCAGCCTACTGTGGACCTTTATACTAGATCTTGATAAAGATAGAAATTGCATAGTTCAGTAAATTATTTACAATCAAAGCATTTTGAGCAATATGTGGATTGCTAAAGTTTATATTTAGCATATTTAGCAATATTTTTAATCTGTAAACAACCCATGAAATCAATGACATCAGCGAATTTCAGTTCCTGTGAAGAATAGATGAGATATCAATTCCTTTTATTCCTCTGTTGTTTTTATCTCCAACAGTTGGGATGATAGCAGTTCCGTTAGCAGTGGCCTCAGTGATACTTTGGATAATATCAGCACAGATGACCTCAATACTACATCATCGGTCAGTTCTTATTCTAACAGTACTGCTTCTTCAAGAAAGAATATACCTACCCATGTAGGTCTCACATTCTTAATTTTCTGTCTAGGGTAGGATATTTATTCCAGACAGCCACTTGGATGTTTTATCACTTTTTCTTAACATACTTGTTCAACACATAAATTCTTTACTAGAGTGGTTTGGGGGTGGAGTGGTGAGGCATTTGTTTATTTCTTTGGTTTTCTTTGTGTTTTCTTTGTTGTAATTATAGTAGTCCTAAGTCTCTTCTGACATGTTATAGTTATAATTAGAGCTTTTGGTATAGCCATGTCATAAAACCATGATGAAACAATTAATTGAATCAAAGCAACAAAGGGACACCTTCTGTGCCTGATCTTTCTATGCAGAAAAAAACAGATAACCTATTTCCTGATCAAGGACCTGTGGAGAGTCATAAACACTGCTGGAGTTTAATGACATGATTACATTTTCTATTGATCACAGCACGGTGTTGCCAACAACCCAAGGCAAAGTTCTGTGCTGCATATGGAGGCAAGAGTGAGGGTTAAAGATATAGTCAAGTCTTTTCTTAGCATATCACACTCTTGGTTATAAAGAGAGTGTGAAATAACAACTAATCTCCAAGTAAACACATTTAGTCCCAATCACATGGCCTGTCAGTTTAGAATCATATTCTTGTCAAGCCACTTATTGCAGTACTGACAGTTTTGTAGGCAAATTGAAAATCTTTCACAATTTGAATCTGAAATTTGCCCGTTAATTAAATATATGATCCTCATATTCTTAGGTATAATGAAGAAAACAATCTCAAGAATCAGCATTAATTTTTGTTATGTATTATTAGTTGCTCTAAGTTAATGTACTTAGCACTAGCTATACAAATACCAAATACCAGTCAAAGTAGAGTGATCAGCATTTTGAGGATAAGATGTTCAGTAAATAATGTGTACTCTACATTGCACTGATTGAAATAAAAATACTTTATTAATTTCATTCCATGATATTTATTTTTGGTAGCTGAAGACAGATTCTGAAAAACGTTCAGTAACTGATGGAGAACCGTGGGGAAGCAGTGAAGAACTGAAGAAGCCAGAGGAAGATCTTGAGAGCAATCTTGACAACAGTGGCAAGTGGAGAAGCCATCCTCCTGGGTTGCTTGAGGAGGCTGAGAAAGGAGGGCAAAAAACTCCTCTTCCCATTTCTCAGACAGGCTCTTGGAGAAGAGGCATGACTGCACAAGTGGGAGCAACATCATCTAGGCACAAAGCTGGAGGAAGTACTATCAAGACACCTGGTAGGAAAGGCATTGAGAGTGTTTCATGTAAGACTAGTAGTTCCCTAAGTTGCCTTAATTGACCTCAATAGATGGGAAAACTCCATGTTTAGCTCCTGGGTATAGAAAACCAGTAATACTGTAATATTAGATTTATTACACAGATAACTTGTATAACTGAATCACTTGTACAATAATTCAGAAGTATTTGGTGGGGAATAATGATAGAGTGTAATATTGCCATATTTCCTTTGCAGTTGTGGGATGGGTAGATTGGTTTTCCATGAGAGTGAACTCTCATTTCATCCTTTCTCGTCAATTATTGGGTCTCCCTCTCCATTCAGGAGTCAAGACTCCATTGTGTCTGGCTATTTCCCTATGAATATCTTCAAACAGAAAGTTTGTTCTGCCTTCAACTTTCCCCCTGGCATGTTGTTTACTGCCCAGTTATACCCTTCACCTTGAGAAAGGTGAAAGTGCTTTGCAAATCCTTCAAAAGAGGTATTTTGCAGCATTTGAGTGGCCATATGGGGCTCTGCTCTTTATTTACAGTATTACTGAAAAACTGAAATCTATTAGACATGGATTTCTGCAGCAATTGTCCTCTTCTTTAGGAAAAACAGATGATGCCAAAGCTTCTGAAAAAGTAAAAACTCCCCTGAAAGGAGCTTCTATCCAGCGTTCCCCTTCAGATGCAGGAAAAAGCAGTGGAGATGAAGGGAAAAAACCTCCTTCTGGAATGGGCCGATCAACAGCCACAGGTTCCTTTGGTTTCAAGAAAACTGGGGTCAGCTCTTCAACTATAATCACTGCAAGTGGAGCAACCATAACAAGTGGCTCAGCAACTTTGGGGAAGATGCCTAAATCTGCAGCCATTGGTGGAAAATCAAATGCAGGGAGAAAGACCAGTCTAGATGGTTCTCAGAATCAAGAAGATGGTGTCTTACATATGAGTTCAAAGACCACTTTGCAGTATCGAAGTTTACCACGTCCTTCAAAATCAAGCACAAGTGGGATTCCTGGCCGAGGTGGACACAGATCTAGCACCAGCAGCATCGACTCTAATGTCAGCAGCAAGTCTGCCGGTGCTGCTGCCACTAACAAACTGAGGGAACCTACAAAGATTGGCTCAGGACGATCTAGTCCTGTAACAATCAACCAGACGGACAAAGAAAAGGAAAAAGTGGCAATATCTGATTCTGAGAGTGTATCCTTGTCTGGTTCTCCCAAATCAAGTCCAACTTCAGCTAGTGCCTGTGGAACATCAAGTCTCAGACAGCCAGGTTCAAAATACCCAGATATTGCCTCACCTACATTTAGAAGGTAAAAATGTTTTATGTGAAAATTGTGATTCTTGCCCTCTCTACCCTTCTCAGAAGAGATGATAGTCCATAAGTATATGGAATTGGCTTCCTTTGGGATTTTTGGAGGATTATGGTACTTCATGCTCCAACAGCACAATAGATTTACACTTCCAGGAAAAGGCAGATACAAATTTCTCTCTTTCTTCTTTTTTTTTTTTAAATTTGATTTATATGCCGCCCTTCTCCAGAGACTCAGGGCGGCTTACAATGCGCTAAGCAATAGCCTTTATTCTTTTGTATATTTATACAAAGTCAGCTTATTGCCCCCACAACTGGGTCCTCAATTTACCTACCTTAGAAAGGATGGAAGGCTGAGTCAACCTTGAGCCTTGGCGAGATTCGAACCTGCAGTAATTGCAGGCAACTGTTCTTAATAACAGGGTACTTTAGACCACTGTACTACCAAGGCTCCTTGCATTTCTTTCTTCACTTACAACAAGCCATTTCATCTAATATGCAACACCAGTATCCCAAAAATGCAAAATCTCCAGTAAAAATTGAACATGGTAGTTATATACATGTATACATATACGTATACATGTATATATCTACATGTGTGTGTGTGTGTGTGTTTGTATGTATTTCAAAGCCATACAGAGAGCAATCCATTGGGCAATTAACCAACAACAGTCCTTACAAAAGCTATATTTAGCAATTTTACTAACTGTTTAATATTTAGCCTTTGCATTTTCCCAATTGTTTGATAACAACAAAACTTTTTCCATTATCAAGAAATATGTCTTGAATACTGTTACCCACCATTTAGAAACATTTGGGCTCCCATCATGGCCATTAGTCATGGTTGATGGACATAGTAGTCCAATTCATATGGAGATGGTAAAAGCTTCACTGAGCTTTTTATAATTTTTCTCAGTTCCCACCTCCAATATTAGAATTTAGGGTTCTCAGTTGGGGGTGGATGCAGGACAGATACAAGTAATTCTTCATACATAGTCAGATTTTGCAATTTCTACCAGACAGCATAGCAGTGACTATGAACCTGAGTGGACGATATAACTGTCAATAGCTTTCTTTCTTTCTTTCTTTCTTTCTTTCTTTCTTTCTTTCTTTCTTTCTTTCTTTCGTTCGTTCTTTCTTTCGTTCTTTCTTTCTTTCTTTCTTTCTTTCTTTCTTTCTTATTCTTTATTGGCCAAGTGTGATTAGACACACAAGGAATTTGGTGCATATGCTTTCAGTGTACATAAAGAAAAATAAAATACATTCATCAAGAATCATAAGACACAACTTTTAGTGATTGTCATAGGTTACTAATAAGCAACCAAATCATACTAGAAAACAAATAAAACAATATAAATTGTAAAGATACAAGCAACATGGTTATAGTCATAAGTGGCAAGAGTTAGGTACTAGGAAGGATGAGAAGAATAATAGTAATACAGGCTTAGTAAATAATTTGACAGTGTTGTGGGAATTAGTTGTTTAGCAGAGTGATGGCATTTGGGAAAAAACTGTCCTTGTGTCTAGTTGTTCTGGTGTGCAGTGCCCTATAATGTCGTTTTGAGGGTAGAAATTGGTTTCAGAGCCAAACCAGTTAGTTATAGAGATGCAGATGACAGACTCAGTAATTCCTCTATAGAACTGAATCAGCAGTTTGGGCAGTTTTAGTTTTCTGAGTTGGCACAGAAAGAACATTCTTTGTTGTGCTTTTTTCATGATTTTGATGTTAGGTGTTCATTTTAAGGCTTGAGATATGATAGAACCTAGAATCTTGAAAGTCTCTACTGTTGATACTGTGTTGTCTAGTATTGTAAGAGGTGGTAGTATAGGAGGGTTTCTCCTAAAAACTACCACCATTTTTATGTTTTTGAGTGTATTTAGTTCAAGAATGTTCTGGTTGCACCACAAGGTTAGTTGTTCAACCTTCCATGTATGCAGATTCATCGTTGTCTCGAATGAGACCAATCACTGTTGTATCATCTGCAAACTTCAGTACTTTAACAGAGGGATCTTTTGAGATGCAGTCATTGGTGTATAAAGAGAAGAGAAGTGGAGAGAGCGCACAGCCCTGGGGGACTCCTGTGCTAATTGTACAAGTATCTGATGTGATTTTGCCTAGCTTCACCTGCTGCTTCCTGTCTGTTAGGAAGCTTATGATTCATTTATAAGTGTGGTCAGGTACAGCTAGCTGATTTAGTTTAGTTAGAAGAATATCTGGAATGATGGTATTGAATGCTGAGCTGAAGTCTACAAAGAGGACCCTTGCATAGGTCTTTGGAGATTCAAGATGTTGTAGGATGTAGTGCAGTCATATTAATAGCATCATCTGTCTATTTGCTCGGTAGGCAAATTGCAAGAGGTCTAACAGTGGATCCGTGATGGTTTTCAGGTGAGCTATGCTGAAAACTTTCCTCAAGTACTCCTTATAGTATTTCTAAGGAATTTGGTTTACTCTTTTTAAGTTTACAAGGCTTGTCAAAAAGCAGGAAAAAATTCAGGTGCTTCTTTTCATGTTGAATTTTTAGTTATATCTGTTCACTGTTTCCATCAGAAATAATTCTGAAATTCAGTAATTAACACACTGTACAGTATATGTTTGTCTTAAGGAAAGGTCAAGAAGATGAAGAAAGGATATAACAGTACATTCAAATAAATCATTTTATCAGAATATATACATTGCAAGTTGCTTTATTTCTCTATGCAGGGCTCATGAGAAATTCCTGGAAAATAGCTATAAGTATTTGGCCAGCAGCTAATGCTTTGCTGTGAAATATGTTGAAAATTTAGGCAAACTAATTTTATTTTATTTATTTATTTATTTATTGTATTTTATCTTTTTATCATACTTATATGCCACCCTTCTCCCGAAGGACTTGGGGCGGCTCACAACAATAAAACAACTAGACAGTAAAATGAATACTAAAATAATCCAATTAAAATCCCCGACCATTAAAACTAAAACCCCCAACAGATCAGGAGATTTGTTGAAAAAGCCACGTCTTCAGGTCACTGGGGAAAGAGAGGAGGTTGGGGGCTGTTCGGAGCCCAGTAGGTAACTTGATCCAGAGGGTTGGTGCAGCCACAGAGAATGCCCTCATCCTGGGCGCCAACAGGCGACATTGTCTGGCCAATGGCACCTGGAGGAGGGCAGTCCTATGTGAGCACACTGGGCTCACATAGGACTGCCAGTAGGAGGCCAGTAGGAGGTGGTCCTGCAAGTACCTAGGGCCCATGCCATGAAGAGCTTTATAGGTGAGTACCAGCACCTTAAAGCGGATCTGAAGGACCACCGGCAACCAGTGCAGCTCGCACAGGAGAGGTGTAACATGGGAGTAATGGGAAGCTCCCGTAACAACCATGAGGCCGCATTCTGGACCAGCTGGAGCCTCCAGGTGCACCCCAAGGGCATCCCCATGTAGAGGGCATTGCAATAGTCCAGACGAGACATAACGAGAGCATGAGTGACTGTACAGAAGGCATCCCTATCTAGGAAAGGTCACAACTGGCGCACCAGGCGATCCTGCACAAAAGCCATCACGGCCGTCAGGTGGTCAACTAAGGACAGCTGCGAATCCAGGACGACGCCAAGATTGCGAACCCTTTCAGAGGGAGTAAGCAACTCCACTTCCATCAAGAGTGATGGGGTCACTAGATCAGGGGATGCTGGCATCCACAGCCACTCTGTCTTGGAGGGGTTGAGTTTGAGCCTGTTCCTACCCATCCAGACCTGTACTGCCTCCAGCACTTAGACATCATGGAAAGGACATCCCTGGGTTGGTCCGGAGTGGAGATGTAAAGCTGGGTATCATCAGCATATTGCTGATACCTCACCCCGAAACTACCAATGATCTCACCCAGCGGCTTCATATAGATGTTAAAGAGCAAGGGGGAGAGAACCGATCCCTGAGGCACCCCACAAATGAGGGGTCTTGGGGAGGATCTCTGTCCCCCTGACTGGATCTCCAAACTCAACATTAAACTTTGAAATGTTATTTCTGTTTTCCTTTTAGGTTTTCTTACTGTTTTTTATTGTTTTTATTGTTTTTAACCTGTAAAAATGAAGTGTTTTAATACTGTGTGTGACCAACCATACACTAAATAAATAAATCTGTCCCCCTGCCCAGACAAATTGTGTGCAACCTGAGAGGTAGAAGGAGAACCACTGTAAAACAGTGCCCCCCACACCCAACCCCCCGAGTCATCGCAGTAGGATACCATGGTCGATGGTATCAAAAGCCGCTGAGAGGTCAAGTAGGACCTCTCAGGAATAACCCCTATCCCTGGCCCGCCAGAGATCATTCACCAGGGCGACCAATGCCGTTTCAGTGCTGTGTCCGCGCCTGAAGGCCGATTAGTACGGGTCTAGATAATCCGTTTCCTCCAGGAATTGTGGAAGTTGGTGTGCCACCACAGACTCAACAACCTTCGCTATAAAGCGAAGGTTGGAGATGGGATGAAAGTTGTTGAAGGAGGCTGGGTCCAGGGCAGGCTTCTTGAGAAGGGGTCAAACCACCGCCTCCTTAAGTATGGCGGGGAAGACCCCATCCCTCAACGAAGCATTGACAATCGCCTGGATCTAGTCTCCAGTCACCTCTCTGGTTGCCGCAACAAGCCAGGAGGGACACGGGTCCAACAAACATGTCGAGGCCCCCAATCTTCCAACAATCCTGTCCACTTCATCTATGGATACAGGGTCAAAGTCAACCCAGATGTTGCCTTCAAGACTTGCTCCTCGTCAGACCCTGCCCAGTCAGAGTCTAAACCTGTCCGTATCTAAGCGATTTTGTCTTGCAGAAATTGAACAAAATCCCCAGCACTGCCTTGCAAGGGGTCCTCCCTCGCTCCCTGATTAAGAAGAGTGGGTCACTCGGAACAAGGCTGCTGGGCGATTTTCTGCAGAGACAATGAGAGCAGCGAAATAATCACGTTTTGCCGCTTCCATCGCCACAAGATAAGACCTAATAGAGGTTCTTAACTGTGTTCGATCAGATTCGGAACGGGAAGATTTCCAACAGCCCTCTAGGCGTCTCTTCTGACGCTTCATCTCCCTAAGCTCCATGGAAATCGATGGAGCTACCTGGGATCCCTGTCGGAGGAGAGGCCGCAAAGGGGCGATTCGATTCAGTGCCTGGCGGCAGCCCGTTCCCAAGCGTCCACAAGGGTCTCTGGCGAATCGGGGGATAGGTATGTGGGAAAAGTCCCAAGCTCCGTCATGAACCTATCAGGGTCCATCAGGCGCCTGGGGCGGAACCAACGAGTCGGTTCCACCTCCCAGCAGTGAAGGTTGGCGGATAGAAAGTCTAGTTTAAGGAGGGAATGGTTGGTCCATGACAGGGGTTGAATGGAAAGTACTCCCCTACCCCGAGCATTAATCCACTGCCCAGAGATAAAAATCAGGTCAAGTGTGTGTCCACCATTGTGAGTTGGGCCCTGTACAACTTGAGTCAGGTCCATGGCCATCATGGAGGCCATGAACTCCCGAACCAGCTCAGATGTCTTGCCAGCTGACGGGAGATTAAAATCTCCCACAACTATCAAGTTGGGGAGCTCAACCGTCAGTTCGGCTAAGATTTCGAGCAGTGAGGGCAGGGCTGAGGATACGCAGCTGGGAGACAGGTATGTAATCAACAGACCCAACTGTACCCCAGGGTTCCATTTCAACAGTAGTGATTCACACCCGCCTATCTGAAGGACAGTGACCTCCCTAGGCTTAAGACTTTCCCTAATGACAACTGCCACTCCCCCACCCCTTCTGTGAAGTCGTGGCTGGTGTAGCACATGGAAATCTGGTGGACATAAATCAGAGAGAGGAACCCCTCCCTCCGGTCCCAACCAGGTTTCTGTAATGCAAGCCAGATCCGCGCCCCCCTCATTGATCAGATCACGCACGAGGGGGGCCTTATTCACAACGGACCTGGCATTAACATATACCAGCTGGAGTCCTGGATTCTGCACTCCCAACCCCCCAGGGGAGCAGGTAGAGCTAAGAGGGCCAGGGCATGGCACCACCTGCAAGCAGCGGGGACACATCCTCGTGATGTCATAATGACCTCTGCTCCCACTACCCCTACCCCTCCCAACCACCACAGTGACACAATGACCCTCACCCCTTTATACCCCGTCTGGCCCCCCCCCCCCCCTCCCCCCCCCCCCCCCCCGCCCCACCCCCAACTTCGTTACTTTTAAGGCCCCCCCCCAGGTCCATAACCCACCCCCCTCCCGGAACCCCTTAAAATTTTGGCTAAAAAATTAAATAAAAAGCCGCTCAACCTCCTCTTCGCAGCATGCCACTTATTCATCAAGTTTGAATATACCCATCTTCCTTTCAGAGGGAGTGAAACTATGTCTGTCTCCCAACTTATATCTCTACAACATTTAAAATGAAATGTTGACTAACAAAATAATTTTGGAACTTCCAGTTAGGTTGAAAGTTGGTCTGACATCTACAAATGGTTGCAATCAATTTTCTCTTTTTGGAAGCTAAGAAATGCTCATCAAATGTTCAGTGGGCAGAAAAATATAAAAGAGTGTCTAAATCTAATTATAAACAGCTGTTGCCAGTCAGAATGCCTAACAGGACAGGAGAAGACCTTTATCAACATAATTTAATTGGCGAAGTCTACAACAGAATAGTTATCTATTCAAGAAAATATAAGTGGAAGCCTGTTTTTACTTGCCTCTGGATGGCTGATAACTGACTAGAAATAGCATAGTAGTAAGGATCCCATATGTGGTAGGGTTGTAATTTCATAACTGCATAATAGCTAACTAGTGGATGAATGTTCATTAAAAAATAAATATCTCTTTATATTTATGGATTATAAATTATCTTTTAAATATCTTATTAGATACACAATGAAAGACAAATTATACATTTTACAATATGCCATAGATGCAGTCAGAAAAATGCTTCATAAGAAGCTTTATGTCTAATTACAGTTAGACATAATTGTTATTGTATCATTTTATTGGATGCCAAAGTCGAAGATACTTGCTGTCACCCAAACATTTCTATTTCTTACTTTTTTTCTGGACATATGCACCAACTTCCAAAGAAAGGGCTGAACTGCATTGAACCACACTTTTTATTTTCTGAGAAGCCCTATTAATCTAGATGGGGCACACAAAGAAAGCATACTGCTTTCATCCTATTAATTTCTCTTTTAAGAAAACAAATGTATTTTTTTTAAAGCATATATTAGTAAGTTAGGGAGAGAGTTTTGTAGAAACCAGGGCAGATGCCTGAGTTATCTAAGTGTGATGTTCCTTATCTTTAATCATTCTATTATGTTGCAAATTGTGCAAAAATATGCAACCTTGATTTGGAGATTTTTGAAATGACAGTATTTTCATCAGAAATGTTCTCTAAAAATAAGAATGAAAATTTTAAATCATATTGGCAATCTCTGGATATTAAAGCCTGACTCAAGTTAGCAGGACAAATTGTTCTATCAAAAACACTCAATAATCTTGAAAGAAAGCTGGGACTACCCTCTTGTGGCCAGTCACCAATACAACATTTTACTTAGAAATTGTTTACCACCATGGCTTTTATTATAGTATAAATAAATATTATGTATATTGTTTTTCATTACCATTCAATAAACTGTAAATTTAGAAAAGCCTTCCTGCAGAATTTATAGAAGGGCAGACTGTTTTAGATCTTTTAGAAATGCAATTTTCTGCAGTTCACAAAAGAAATCTATTTTATTCTGCTGGAGACTGCTGGAGTGGGCTTGGAGAATAAATTTAATGAGATAAATAAAAATGAACTTTCATACATATACATAGGTACATATGGAAAGAAACTGAAATTAGCATTTTGCACTTAATTTCAGATTTGAGAAAAATATTGATTTGGTGGCTGACAATAATCATGCTATAATACTTTAATTATTAAAATATCTTCTGATTAAGCTTTTGAAATACTTGTTAAGCTTTGATGAACATTTAATCTTTTTAGGCATCTACGTAAAGAACAATTGTTGATTTTATTATCTCTATAAGAAGATCCATATTTCTTAAAAGACAAAGTTTAAATGAATTATTATTTTTTAAATGACATCTAATAATGAATAGTCAAAATGGATTTCCTTGTGAGAAATGTAAAAGTAACTTGTGCTGATATTCCAGATATTATGATGTGAAGCTTTGGTTTCTAACATTTAGGTTGTTGGTTTGCTTCTAGGTTGTTTGGTGCCAAAGCCAGTGGCAAAGCTGCCACTGCACCAAATACAGAAGGCGTGAAATCTACATCTGCCATGCCCAGCCCTAGTACCACATTAGCTCGGCAAGGCAGTCTGGAATCTCCATCTTCAGGTACAGGTAGCATGGGCAGTGCAGGTGGGCAGAGTGGAAGCAGTAGCCCCCTCTTCAATAAGCCCTCGGACTTAAATACAGATGTTGTAGGCCTAAGTCACTCCTTGGCTTCAAGTCCAGCCTCAGCACATTCTTTCACATCAGGTGGTCTTGTGTGGGCTGCAAACCTGAGTAGTTCTTCTGCTGGTAGTAAGGATACACCAAGTTACCAGTCAATGACTAGCCTTCACACCAGCTCTGAATCTATTGATCTTCCTCTTAGTCATCATGGCTCCCTCTCTGGATTGACCACAAGCACTCAAGAGGTTCAGAGCCTGCTCATGAGGACGGGCAGTGTCAGATCTACTCTTTCAGAAAGGTGAGTTAATCATAAAGAGAGAGAGAGAGAGAATCATACCTGATCTTGGGGGTGGGGGGAAACTCTGAAAAACTAAGGATTGAAAAAAGTCTAAGAATTCTTTATTTCATTCAATAGATTCCTTCTACAGAATTTATTAAATTATGACTGTTTGAAATTAAGATACTTGGGAAACATTTAGAAAATAGTGATGACATTAATAAAATTAATAGTCACTATGGGTTCAAAATAGTGATTCTTATGTGTTCCTTCATTTGCTTAGATCATTCTCAAAATTGCAAAAAGAGGATAATCAAGTAGTTTAACCAGGCCAATGTACTGTATATTATATGTAACACTATAATTGTGCTTAATAAATTATAGCTTACTTTATATTAGTGCTTGGAATTTGGGCAGAAGCTACAAAATGGTTATCTTCTGGGGTAGCATGATATACATTAATTTCTTTCTTCCTCTCTGAAGATTTCTCTATAAAGTTTCCTTTTAAGATAATTACACACTGCCCAAAGCTCAAAATTGTTTAACTTTAACTATGAATAGTGTTAATCTTGTATGTGAAAGTTTTAACTATAAAACACTTTAATATTTATTTTTATGAAAAGAAGTATATAATAAATTTGTATGGAAAGATCAATATGTGAGCAATTCAGTTTCATAAAGTTCAACAACCTTCTCTCACTCATGACATTTAGAAGCGTTGAATTGCAAATCTCTTGTCAGTTCTAGTCAAGCAGGGTGATTTAGCCTTTTGTGTATAGTTGATTGGAAGAGACCAGCTTGGGAAATGCTAAATATAGTATTTAAATGGTTTGTTTGAAAGTAAACACGGTTAAGAATTAATATAGTAGGAGACCTTTTAGACATCTTCTTGTGGTTGTGCTAAGAAGCGAATAACTTGTGTTAAGTCTTTGTGAGTCCAAAACAAATTGATGTGTTCTTGGCAAATATGAGATTCACACTAGAGTCATCATGAAACTATGTACTATGTACTCAGTACTTCACTTCACAGTATTTCTATGTCCCATGTACTATGTTGCATGAATTTGTGTGTGTGGGTACATGCATACACCATTGCTTTGTTTCTTCTTGGAATACCTCTATTTTTCAGACTATTGATTGTGTTTGTAGATTTATGCTATAGTTGTCTTCACAAATATGAAAGAACAATGAAGCAAGCAGCATAAAGTAACACAGATCCACAGCAACAGCTGCATAAGCTGTCCAGTAGGGCTGCCGAGAGGATTATTAAGTGCTGGAACAAGACTAATATGGCCTCCCTCACACATAAATCAATAATGTCATAATTCTACATTTATTAATTACATGCAAACATACTTGCAAATATATTAACTTCACTCCAGACAAGCTTTCTCGGTCATGTTTTTCACCATTTAAACTTCTAAATGTTAGAATACTCTCAGGAAATGTTATCTATATTATCTATATAGTTATCTATATCTTTGGGAAATATTTTAGGAAAGCCAGTATGACTTTTAATAACATAGTTTTCTATATCCAATTGAGAGGGCACATCTGTTATAAGAAGTCCAATATCAATTCCAGTATTTGACCTACTCTTCTCTTCACTTTGTCTGCCATGCCCAGATTCTGTAGACAGTGAAGTACTCTCATCACTAACATTCAATTGTTTCTCTAAATCTTTAAATTGAGAATTTACTTGATCTGATGTTTCCTGAAAATCCAAACTGGCCTCATGAGATTCCGATCTTTGTTTCAGTTCTGCACTTGTCATACATTGTTCTGAATTTAAAGTTTCATTTTGGTTAGTTTTGCTTGTTTTGCATTTAATGCTAAATTGATAAAGTGATTGTCAGCCCTTTTTATTAATAATACCATGTTTTTCCTTGCATTTTTGAGCTTCAGATTTTTGAGATGACATTTCATAACCATTCATAAACTGAAATGAAATATAAAATATATTCATAAATGAAATGAAACTAAACTTGCAAACTTAAATAAATAAGTAATGGAATTAAAATTCAATAAATTACATAAATAATTGTTCACTGAGTTTCAGATTAATAAAGGTTATGTCAAACAAGGCTGCAAGGCAGTTATACTTTACACACAAAGTATAGAGTATGAAGTATATATCCAGTATTGTTTTTTTTCTTTTTAAAAATTTGGTTTTGTAAAATTTTTAAAAAATTTCGCCCTTCATGGGCCCCCTTTGAGCTCCATGGGCTCCAGAACAATATACTGGCTGCACCTCACTCTCCTCAGGCCTGCTGTCCAGCACAGGCTGCAATATTTCTCATAGACATCTCTGAAGACATACTAGGAAAAAAACAATTTTCTCTTCTGCTCCAGGCTGGAATACTTCAGTATTCAGCAAATGGATGACAATTATATTGGACTGAATACTTATGCACATAGAAAACAATTATTTAATTGTGTAGGTTTTTTTTCCTATCCAGATATATCAGGAATACAACTGAATATTTAAAATATTTTCCATAGTGTAATAAATTATTACTATTACACTCTAGTAAATTTTTTTAATATTCAGTTGTATTGCTGACATATCTGGTGCAATATGGTGCAATCATTCATCATTTACTGAATCTGTTTGATTTACCTTTTACTAAGAAATTGCAATCCCAAGCCATGTTTTGTGAGTTGCGCAGCTATGTAAATTTGTTAAATAAATAAACTAATAAGATGCTGTAGTGAATATTTTTAATAATTGGTCATATTCCTATCATATCCAATCAACGAAAAAGGAATTTTGTTTGTCCCTTTTATGTCCATTTCAGCATCATGAACATAAGATGCATCTTCAAAACATATGGACACAATTAACTGTTTGTGACCCATTTCTTTGACTTTGTAAAAGATATTTCCAATGTAGCAAACTTATTTAATTAAAAGTTTATTTCAATCAGCCAGGCCTAGTGATCAGGGTTGTGATCTATCTCCTTTCAGATCTTAAATAGGCTCTTTCTCCTAGGTTTTGTTACAGAGAATTGTCCTGGCATCTCTGCAGGTTTTCCTCTTTCTACAGGTTTTTATGTCATCTAAATGCTTTAGGAATTCTGGATGGTGATTTCATGTATGTCTTCCTGTGGTACCTGCCCTTCTACCTTGCTGATTAATTGGAGCCCTGAGCTTGGTATGCTTTTTATTTTCCAAGATGGGCTCTGGGCAAGGCCTTAGGTCAATATTAGAAGATACATTTTGGCTAACTTCTGATCCCTTTCTATGTGAAGATCTGCCATATGTGTTATGCTGCATCTTCTCTTAATACGTACATAGGGACAATCCTCCATTTCTACAAAGTTCCTCTCTCTTTCCTATCTTTCCACTGAAAAGTTTAAATAGGATATTGGCATTCATACCCTAGGCCAAGTATTGGTCAATAATGGGCAAAGTACATGTATAGATTATGACTTCTATATCCATCCAGGCAATTACTTTTTCCAAACACCTTCTCATATTTTTTTATCTGGCTCCACCCCTTCTTGGGGGGGGTTTCCCTTCAAATGTTAAGCACAGTCCTTGATCCCTTACTCTCATGCTATCAAGAAAAAGATGTAGCATTAGGCCATACAAGAAGTTTGTCTCTTGACAGACAGGTATTCAGATTTAGTGGTCACTTGTTCATTGTTGTTCAAGTAAAACACAAATATGATTTATTTAGTTATTGTTCATGTACATTGTGAAATGGTCCACAGCTCAGGACACAGATTTTATTATTTCATTTGTCAATTTGTCTTTGCATTGTCAAACCAAGTCTGGCACTAAGGATACCACAGTAATCCAACAGATTCATTTTTTGATATGGGGACTAATTTATTTTCAGCTGTTCAAGTATAAGGAAAGCTTTACTTGTGCTTACATGATGACAGCTGTTTTTTTAGCAAAAAAAGAGGTAGGTTTTGTATTTGTTATGTCAGGCGATTCAAGAAAGCAGATATCATAGAATTAAAACTTATATTTACCTACCAAATTAGATACTAGGAATGAACCCCTGTTATAGTGTGTTTTGAAAAAAATACACTGACATTATCTTTTAAATTGTTTTTATAAATTAAAACTCTAAGCTGTTAGAAACTGTAATGTTAAAACATAAGAAAAATCTATGACATTTTTAATAATACAAATCTAAGATTATTGTTTTCAGTAAATATTTGTTTTTGTTTTCTATAGGAGGTTTAGCTTTTTCAAAAAATTATTTATTCATTTTTTTATTCATTAGGAAGAAAATTCAACACAATAAAAATTAAGACCTTTCCATTAGTCTTCAACTTGCAACTTAATTCTTAGTGTTATCTATGATCCTGGTTTTCAAATGTTGGCATTGTGTACTTCATAACTATTATATCAGTAGCCAACAAAATATAATGACATATGGAACAATATATGACCGTAGTTTAAGCATCAAAACTTGAAAGAAGCTAAAATTTCAAATCCTCAGGTGCTAAAAACAGATTGTCCTTTCTTAACTAATGGTCAAGAAAAAAAGTCTTGCGTAGATCTAGAGAGAAAAGAAACATAGACTCAGAAGAATTTAGCCATCCTGAGCTTACGTTAAGATCATATCTGAGCCCAGTTCATTTGTTTAGGCTCTCCTGCCAACATAACTACATTTTCAGCTATTTTCTATCTTCAAATTTCATAAGAATTGGAAATAGCAAGATATGTTCAGCATTTTATACATTTACGTCTTGTGAATGAACTTGCCTTTTGAAAAGTCCTGACTTAGATATTAAACTATGGTTATGGAAAGAAATTACATTAGCACAATAAATTGAAATCAAACAATTATGAGATCTGTATTATCCAGACAGTCCTCCCAAAGAATATAAGAATCTGAAGCTAGATATCATTTCAAAATTCAAAATGTAAGAATAGACCACTGTTACTGAAAAGTGAACAATAATCTTTGTACAGTATTAACACACCTCATTTACAGATTTGACATTTTCCATTAAAAATAGTTTTTCTAAAATACAGTATCTGCAATTCAAACCTTTTTAGACCTTTTAATTTTGAAGTATTCTGTTTACTGTATGTCTTTAGGGTTTTTCTTTGTTTTAACAGCATGCAGCTTGACAGAAATACACTGCCCAAAAAGGGATTAAGGTATATAATATTTTATTCAGCATGACTGCTGTTTCTCTGTTGTTCTGTAACTTCTCTCTATAATACATCATCCTTTTCTTGTTACTATGTAACCTGTAGTGAACAACTAATATAGTATTTCCATTTATGTTTAGAAATTAGATTGTTACGAAGTTAAAATATTTTATCTCTTTGACAATGAGAAGAATAAGAATAATTTGTAGGCTGCATCCAGCAATTGTAATAATCTGTATATTTATCTAACAAATTTTCATAGCTGAAAATGTTTTTTTCTCCCAGAATTGCTCAACTGTTTCACAGGAACTTCCAGATAAGTTTCAAATTTTGCTTTGGGTGGTATCTTCTGACCATCTAAGTCAGTAATTGTCAAAGTATGGTCCTTTGACCACCAATCATTTGCAAAAAATCCATCAAGTGTTGTTCCACAGCTTTACACATTCACTGGGCAGGTCTATTTTTGATCTAGGGTCCACCTTCCTAATATGCAACACACTAAAAATGCAATTTGTTTGATCAAAGCAATTTCACTGATTCCTCAAATTCATCTGAAACAAGAACCCAGAATTTGCTTCAAATATCACTTTAAAGCTATAACTTCCCACTTCTCATAATTTTCTGTTCTTTACAGATTGATTCCTTACAAATTGATTTCTTATTCAAATAAAAAAATATCCATTTACCACATAATTATGCTGATTATTGAATCCCACAGTCTTACTTTACTTCTAACTTTAAACTGACTCTCAGAGAGCAAGCCTGCTTAGTTTCCAAAAGTTTTCAATAATAATATTTTCAAGTAGAAAGGATACAACATTCTTCTGCTGCAGTGAAGGTATATTTCAACGAATTGCCAGCCTCTTGAAGGCTGCATTTGAGATGGGTTTTCTAAAGAGACCGGCCCGGGGGGGGGGGGGGGGGGGAATCCCCCCCCCAAAAAAGAAGAAGAACCAGTTACAGTTTTACCTACACTTTTGCTTATTGAAAATAATTATGCTACAATTGGTAGAACCATATTAAGTCTTTTAGAATCCAGGGAGAGAGTTTTTCCATCTTTCTTTTCCTTTATCTGAAGACAATAATTTCAATTCTTTTAAAGAAAAGTAAATAGTCAATTTCTGTGAAATTATCAGGGCCAGTACATATGATGTGTTCCTTGTTCTTGGGTGTCAGTCAATTAAAATCTGATCTCAAGACCAACATTAGCAGTGGACTGTCAAGTAACTGAAATATTAGATTGCAGTGAAATAATTTTTCTTGAGATGCATATTACTAAATAATAATCAGTTGAGCTTAGTAAATCTCAAGTAGATTTGACAGTAGAAAAATTGTATCAATCCTATTTGGTTGTCTAAATATACCCACCTCAGCAAACCTTGTCCTCACCCATGGATCAAGTATTATCAAAGTCTAGCAGTCCAACAGTCTGTTTCCACATATATGAAGAAACAGGTCTGATTATGACAGCAGGAACAAGCTTTATTTGCAGGCAAAGGACAGCTGATGCAAAGTCTAGTTTTAAAAATAGGCTTTGGGAAAATCATAGCACCAGTTTTTAAAATCTTCATTTTTTAACTTTGCGAAATATTTGATTATATATGAAATGTAAGCACTATATTGCAATTTGACTACCTAAAAGGGCCTTATGTATTTTTCACTGAACACTTTCTAAGCCTTTGTCACAAATGTGGGTTGTTATACTGTTGGAGATACATTTTTGCCCTTGGCAGCAATGGCCCAAAGTCTATGGAAAATTCAGTTTCCCAAATCTTGGTTTCAGCAAACACACTTCTTCACAAGAGAATATTTCTTTTTCATCTCTTATATTTATCTATTTAGTGGTAAAGTGGTATCTCAGGATCACTCTGTGGACAAATAATGTTTTTTTCTCCATAAGATGTCCCATCAAGTGTCACTTACAAACCCAAATCATTTCTTTTTATAGTGTTGATCTGTTCTTATTGTTTTCAACTTTATCTGTGCATTTTGCTCCTCTAGCTATCATTATGTAAGAACTGACCACTGTTCTCTTTTCACCAATTACTTTTTAAATGTATCATTATGCTTGAATTCAGATTCTCTTTTTTTTTTTGTCTTCTAAAGTTTCTAAATGTTTTCTGAACAATTTCCTCTGCATGATTTTCTGTAAGACGCCAATTGTCTCTCTGTTAATGATTTGTCTGTCTTTTTCCTGGGTGATATCTACCTCAAATATTCTAATTATCTGAATTGAAAGTGGTACTTGATAACAGTGTCTAATCTTTGGGTAAGTGTTGCACTTTAGTTGTGTACAGCATGTGAATGTTTTTAATTTGTCCATGGTCATCTGTTTCAGGTATACTCCATCTTCTCGCCAGGCTGGTCAAGAGGAAGGGAAAGAGTGGCTGCGTTCACATTCTACTGGAGGGCTCCAAGACACTGGAAGTCAGTCTCCCCTGGTGTCGCCTACAGTTATGTCTTCCTCTGCAACTGGCAAATATTTCTCTAATTTAGGTAAGAAGGAATAATTTGCATTGTTACTTTATTCTATTTTGGTGGAGTCATATCCTCCATTAATTTGGCAGAAGTAATTAATATGTGTTTCCAGATTAAGTTTTCTCTTGTCAGTTACAGATTCTGCTGGTTGTTGGTTGTTTTTTTTTTGTTGTTGCTGTTGTTACTGTTGTTGTTGGGTTTGCTTGGTTTTTTTTGCAAAATTTTCTCTTTCACCTGTCTGTGTGTCATTTTCCCATAATTTGAGTCTTTCAGGAATGTTTTAGCTATTTATTTCAAAGCAAACGCTGCTGATGGTGGCTTGGTTTAACAAATTATGTGTTGCAGTGTGAAAAAAAGATGATAAATCTTGTTTTCTCTAAAGAAACATTAAAAGGATCAAAAGTCTTCCCCTTAAGAGCCTTGGAAACCAACTTTTCAAATGATACTTCCCTGTGTGTGAAGGAGGAAAGAAAAGAAAGAAATACATATTTCAAATCATGGCTAAAAACAGCTCTGTATCATGGAATTATCAATTCAAGATTATAAATACATTTTGGGGTATTAGATAATTGTAACTGCTACAACTAAGAAAAAATTGTCAGAAATGTACAACTTTGCCTAATCCAAGAGGTTTACTTGGAAATGGCCCACGGGAAAAAATTAAATTTTATTTTACTTTACATGTAATTAAAATTATTTATAGGAAGTAATATAATTCCTCATTTAATAATTTACCATTAAATTCTGAAAAATAACAACCATTTTGTTAAGAACCTCTGGAACCACATCTAAAAATGTGAAGCCACATTTGACCCTAAAGCCACAAACTAAACTATACTATACTATACTACACTATACTATACTATCCATGTTAAATTTATCCTAGAAATGGTTTTAATTGTTTATAAAACATAGCCAATATGTCACTTCATTCAATAGATTCTCCCTAGAATATACATAGCATTTCATTCAAACATATTATTTTTTTTGTTTGATATTGCAGTAAGTCCAACAAATTTATCCCAGTTCAAACTTCCTGGACCTAGTATGATGAGGTCAAACAGCAACCCTGCACAAGATTCTTCATTTGATCTCTATGATGATTCTCAGTTGTGTGGCAGTGCTACATCCTTAGAGGACAGACCACGTGCAATTAGTCATTCTGGTTCATTCAGAGATAGCATGGAAGAAGGTAAGAGGATGTGTGAAGCAACATGAATGAACAATTGTTGTATTACTCAGAGTTTAACCCATGCCATAATTAGAGTTTATAGACATATTAGAAGCAAATCATAGATTTAAACTGATTTTTGTTTCCTATCTGCTTGGAATTCACTTTTATTTTCATAGTTCAATAGCCTTTGGAAACAAAATACTCTTAAGCTTTTCAATAATTACAATCACTACATTCTTAAATACAATAGGCCTATTCTGTCTTTCATGAATATTTTCATCATTTCATCACTTTCCTTTGTTAAGTTGCAGCAATTGTACATTACTTTTTCTGATTCTTCCTCAGACAGTTATTCATAACCACCCCTGTTACCAGCTGAAGACTTTTAATCAAATCAAAATCATATAAAATGAAATCAATCTCTATTATCACCATCAATCTGATGCTCATCAATCTGATTTTCTCATTATGAGTGCTGATTCCTTATACACACATTGCATGATTATACAAAGCATTGTTTTTGTTTACACTAAGGTGTTCCTTCTGTTTTTCTGTATAGATCTGGCAGCATCCCAGATTTAATAATCACTTGATTCTGGCACCTGCAGCAATCCAAACTCATTTTGTTCTGTGCTTTCAGCAAGCTGAATTGTCTAGCATAGCACGGAGATAACAAAATTTAAAAATCACATCATTTCAATGACCAAGTGGCTTTGCTTAGTAGAAGCCTAATAGTATGCAAAAAATTAGCAATATTCTAGGTCAATTTGTGTTAAAAGAGCAGGGCAACTTGCAATAGCGGCAACCTTATGCTCCTATTATAGCTATCATGGGCCTCAACACTTGCTACTTACATTGCAAAAAATTCACACCGATGGATGCTTTATTCTCTGAAATAAATAACAGGCCCGGGAATTCTAAGTATAAACCAAGATTCAGTGAGGTATGAAGGGTTATAGCCCTCCCTGTTCTGCAATATAATAATTCCAACCTGAATCAAATTTTAATCCAACAAAGTTCTCATCTTGAATTTTTGATTTTACTTTTTGATATTTACTTTTTAAAAATGCTAATTGCTAAGTGTGGTTGCTATGTCTCATTTTATTCTAAGCTTTGCATATAAGTTAAAATTGTTTTCATCTGCTGTGTTATCAAAGAGATACTTTTAAAATAGAATCCATTTCACTTACAGTGGAAGCTGCCTGCCTACCAATAACAGCTTTTATCTTCCATGAAGTGTAGAGTCCATTCGGCAGTTGACACTTTCTGTATTTGCTGTATCAAAAATTGCTTTGCCAAAGGGTGACATTCAGATGCTGTTTTCCTATCAACACAATAAATGATTAGTTTTACTGGCAAAACTGCAATGTATTACTAAAATCTCTGTGTACAAGTGTTTTTTTTTTTTTTTTTAGCCATAGAAAAATCATTCTGTGGAATAAAAATATATTTCTACACAGGCAGTCTCTGTAATAGTTTTCTCTTTGGAGACAATTATTCGAATTTAAAAAGAGATGTTCTGTTATTGAATTTGACAGGGAATCATTCCTGTTGCTTTATCAAAGTTATTCTAATACCAACTTTGGTGCTTCTGTTTTAGTACATGGATCCTCATTATCATTAGTTTCCAGCACTTCTTCTCTCTACTCCACAGTAAGTCTTAAACATATATTAAAAATCTTGGATGTTGTAGATTCTGTGTATGGTTTTTAAAATTGGCTTGAAAATATATTAAGATTTGGATTGATAACTGCTTTGATATTATTATATGCACAGACACAAAAAAGGTTCTGATATATCCACTATGGTGGAATGGCTGGTGAAGATGACAGAATTAGCAGAGATGGAAAAAAATGACTTGTTTGGTTAGAGGAAAAAGAATAATATATTAGTGACTAGAAACCCTTTATGAACTTTTTGCTGAAAAAAGAAAAGAATGAACTTATTTATCAGTTTGATTATTAAAAAGCATAGACTATAGAAAGAAGGAGATTATTTTGTAGCCTTACAGAGAGAGAGGATAAATTCAAATGTACTTGTAACTGCTGTTAAGAAGAGTGGAAGCCATTTTTCTCTTTCTTTTCTTTTCTTTTCTTTTCTTTTCTTTTCTTTTCTTTTCTTTTCCTTTCCTTTCCTTTCTTTTCCTTTCCTTTCCTTTCCTTTCCACTTTCCTTTCCACTTTCCTTTCCACTTTCCTTTCTTCCTTTCCTTTCCTTTCCTTTCCTTTCCTTTCCTTTCCTTTCCTTTCCCCCTTTTTACATATTACTTTATTGTACCATCATTACCACCAAAATTACCATCATTAATTTTCTTCCTTTTTTTCAAAATTTGTATTGGTTTTTAAAAAATAAACTTTTATACAGCATATGTAACAGGAAACATATTGACACCTGACAGGCTAAGAAACAATAAAGAAATTCTTATTGCTGTTTGAATGTAACAGCTTCTTTATAGTTTCAGAAGCAGTATGCCCTTGTTTTCTTCAACTTTTTTGTTGTTTTCCTTCCTTCCCTTGACAGAAAATTGTTCAAAATTGTTTGCTGCTGCTATCTGATGTGCTGTACCTTTCTGGCTTGTTTTTGTGCACTTTAAAGATTAAGTGGCACAGTAATTGGTCTCTCAGTGGATAGCTTTTCCTGTACTGAAACAGCTTTCCCAATGCAGGAAATTGCAGCATTGCTTTGACAGCCCAATTTTCAAACCTGATATAAAGTGATTTATGGTGAGCCAGCTTGTAGGTGTTTTTAATTATTAGTAATACATTTTTTTCTTATGGAGGAAGTTTGTTTTGAATTTGTATGTATCAAGCAATATGAAGTTATGACAGCTCATCATTAAAATTTCATTATACACTTCATTCTTTAAAATTTAAGTATTTCAAGATTAAAAGTTTACTATGTACTATAGATTAATCGCTTGGTTATACCCAATGTGAATGTCCATTTTTAATGTAAACTGGAATTAGTCACTGGTTATGGGAGCCATGTCGCTCCCATAACCACCCATGCGGCTGCATTCTGGACCAGCTGGAGCCTCCGGGTGCTCCTCAAGGGGAGCCCCATGTAGAGAGCATTGCAGTAGTCCAGGCGGGAAGTGACGAGGGCATGAGTGACCGAATTTAATGAGCCCCGATCCAGAAAAGGACACAACTGGTGAATCAGGCGAACCTAATAAAAAGCCGTCCCGGCCACAGCCATCAAGTGCTCTTCTAAAGACAGCTGTGAATCCAGGAGGACACCCAAGTTGCGAGCCCTCTCTGTGGGGGCCAACGACTCGCCCCCAATAGTCAGTGATGGCACCAACTGACTATATCGGGACGTCGGAAACCATAGCCACTCGGTCTTGGATGGGTTGAGCCTGAGTCTGTTTCTCCCCATCCAGATCCGTACAGCCTCCAGGCACTGGGACATCACTTCAAGGGCATCATTGGGGTGGTCCGGGGGGAGATGTACAGCTGACTGTCATCAGCGTACTGGTGGTACTTCATCCCGAAACCATGGATGATCTCACCCAGCAGCTTCACATAAATGTTGAACAGAAGGGGCGAGAGGACTGACCCCTGTGGCACCCCACATACAAGGGGCCTCGGGGTCAACCTCTACCCCCCTGCCAACACAGACTATGACCGGTTGGAGAGAAAGGAGGAGAACCACTGCAAGATGGTGCCCCCCACCCCTAACTCTTCTAGCCAGTGCAGCATGATACCATGTCGATGGTATCAAAAGCCGCTGAGAGGTCTAATAGGACCAGGACAGAGGAGCAAGCCCTCCAGAGATCATCAACCAATGCGACCAATGCCGTTTCCATGCTGTACCCAGGCCTGAAGCCCGACTGGAACAGATCCAAATAAACCGATTCATCCAAGTACTGAGGGAGCTGTCACGCTACCACACTCTCAACAACTTTCGCAACAAAGCGAAGGTTGGAGACTGGACGGTAATTAGCCAACACTGCCACCCTATCTCCATAGGACTCAGGGAAGCTCACAACAATTAAAATAAACCAATAAAAACATAAAATACATACATAAACAAATATTAAAACCCGTTAAAATACAATGCTGCATTCTAACCACTGTGCCACTACAGTTCTGCAATTTTAGCTATTAGAGTAATATCATCAGCATAGTGCAGATTATTCTTTCTTTCTACAGTTTTAAAACCAATTCATCATCTTCCAATCCAGCTTTCCTTAATATTTCATTATATATTGGTTGAATATACAGCTTGGTTTTGCTCCTTTGCCATCCTGGAGCCAGTCTATTTCACCATATTTTGCCCATATTATGGCTTCCTGATTTATATATAGATTTCTTGTGAGAGCAATGAGATATTCTGAGATTCTCATTTTTGTGAGTATATTTTATGACTTGATATGATTGACGTAATCAAAGGGTCTTCTTTAATTAATGAAGCCCATGTTGATTTGTTTTTGGCATTCTTCCACTTTCTCAGTTATCCAGTGTGCATCAGGATGTCTAAAACCCATTTTTGAATTACTGGGTTGTGCTCCTGTAATTTGCATCAAATTCTAGAATTTTAGCAGTGCAGCTTTTTACATTTGGAGGACAAATAAATTAGAGCTTTGCATACCTTAACACGAACTATTATGTATTGAAAGAAACCCTAACATATTATAAATGTATTGAAATTATCAAACCAGTTATCGTAGACCCTGGACTATTATAGATACGTATTAAAAATAAACAAATAAAAAGAAAATACAAACTTGAAGGAAAAAACAATTTCCCAACCATAATTTACACTGAAATGATTTTTTTTCCTCAGAAGACTAAGTTAAAATTAATGAAGCAAGCTCACAAGAATTTAAGAACTTCTTAAAACAGAAAATGTAAGAACATTACAAAAGAATTCTACAAAGTACACCGTCTATTTAGAATAATCAATGTGTAAGGGGTTTGTTTTGATAGTTTGTTTTGCACTTTTTTTTTGCCCCTTTTACATAAGAGTATAGAAGGGATTCTCTTTTAGTTGAGAATACAGTTGTTATTTCTTCTTTGATTTGGCAATATCCAATATATATGTTTACCTTGGACAGTGTGAAAAGCTCTTTCATAATAACTTGGATAAATTGAAAAGTTCAGAAGCTCACAATCTATACTTATGTCATATAATTAATAATAGCATTAATCAACACTATTAAGAAAGTTGTCAGCATACAGCCAACATAGCCATATAGTCTAATCAAATAATAAATAAATAAATAGATAAATAAATAAATAAATAAATGTAATAATAGGCATATATCATCACATCAGTTTAATCAGTCAAGAACAACCATTCTGAGATTTTAATAACTTGACCCTTTCCTCTCTCAATTTTCAGCTACTTGACAAGGCTTTTTCATCATCATTTGAGGAGCTAACTGTGATAATGGAATTTGAAATACTCTTTATTAAGGGCATGGTATTCTCTTGGTTTTAAAATCTTCAGCAGGATTTGTTCTTGAAGGACATAATCATTGATCAGCAATACTCCTTTTGATCTGGGTAAAGCTCATTCAGTTCAGCAGTTCCGAATGAAGAAATAGTGCTCAAATGGAAATATCATACAAAAGATTTAAATTTAAATTGTACAAAAATATTTATTCTATAATATACAGAATAACAGAATTGGATGAGACCTTGGATGTCTTCTAGTTCAACCACCTACTCAGGCAGGAAACCCTATACATTTCAGACAAATGATCGTCCAATCTCTTCTTTAAAACTTCCAGTTTTGGAATATCTCCCACTTCTGGATGCAAGTCATTCCATTGATTAATTGTTCTAACTGTCAGGAAATTTCTCCTTAGTTCTAGATTGCTTGTCTCCTTGATGAGTTTCCATTCATTGCTTCTTGTCCTGCCTTCAGGTGCTTTGGAGAATGGGTTGTCTCCCTCTTCTTTGTGACAACCCCTCAGATATTGGAACACTATTATCATGTCACTCCTAGCCTTCTTTTCATTAAACTAGACATACCCAATTCCAGCAACCGTTCTTTATATGTTTTAGCCTCCAGTCCCCTAATCATCTTTGTTGCTTTTCTCTCTGTACTCTTTCTAGAGTCTCAACATCTTTTTTACATTGTGGCAACCAAAATCATATTATTCGGTAACCCTCTGTTTCTTCCATATATATTTTTAAAGTTTTTAAAGTGTCCTAATTCTATGCCATTGTAGCGAAGGATATGCTTCAAAGTACAGACTATCAGCATAAGAGGTAGAGGATGATTTTTTTCTTCCAATCTTTCAATGATACATTTGGTAATAATCAGTCACTGTTATTCAATATATCAATATATAGTTATTCAATATATCATTATATTTTGGGTAATGTAAACTGGTAAAATCTTTTTTCCCTTTATTCTTCCTTCTGCTTTTATTCATTTACTTTAAATATTATAATTTAAAGTTCATAAAATATTCTTGAGTCTTTCGATAGCATCATTACTTAAACAGCATACAGGAAGGAGCATTCCAGAATGTTCCAAGTTAACTTATCCAGTCTTAACTGAGAGCAGCAGGGATATGAGTGGTCTGGATGGGAAAGAGTTGGGAGAAAAAGCCCAATTACAAGCCATAAAACATTAATCCAATTGCAATATTCAGAATAGCTGGAACACTCAATATGGCAACACTTGAAACTACCCAATTTTGTTTCATGCTTTACACTGTTTTGTTTTCTACTGGAGATAAAATTCTCAGAATGTAAGTGTTTTGTTTTATAGAAGCATACTCAAAATGGCTTTTGAGGTTAAATGGTTTTGCACATCTCTACTGTTTGTGATTCTGTGTAAATATTCACTAAAGTGGTGGACACAACTTCAGCTGCAATTAACTATAGCTTTAAGAATAATACTGTAATGTTTGTAATAGAAATTAGATTTCTATTTCTCTTAGACATTATTAAAAGGAAGCTATCCAAAATAATATTAAAACATTTATGTTTATGGTAGCATGGAAGGCTTTAAAAGCTTATTATACTGATATATTCGAACCTTTATTCAGAATAAGTATATTACATTTATTTAGACTTGTTTCCAAGTGAATATTTATTGAATTGCAGCCAATAATCCAAAACTTTGATAATACTCCAAGTTATTAAAAGACTCAGAAATATTTACAATTTATATTCTCATTCTAATTTTTATCTACAATTATACCTGGGAATTAATTTTTATCTAAGCCAAAAGTTTAATGCTTTGATATTTTTCTTTTCTTTTGTTGATAATCATATACATTTCAGACGTGTGTGTGATTTGAAGAATGAAAATAGTAAAAGGGAATGTGGCAGAAAAAAGGAACCATACAGTATTAAAGCTTTGCTAATGTAAACTTTGCATAAATAATTTAGAAAATATTTTAAAATGTTTATAAATAATTACTTTATTGTCCCTCTAGGCTGAAGAAAAGGCACATTCAGAGGTAAATATAAATATACTTGCTATTTAATAATCAGTAAATTAAAATAGTTGTGGTTGTGTGGCATTTTTTCTTATATTTACCAACCTAGCTTTGAGATGTTCTTCTAAGACATTGTTTCAAGGGTTTCAGCACCTAAGGAAGGTGTCTTTAGACAAGTCCTTTTAAATAGTGGCATTCTGATTGTACAGTGGTCTTCTCTATGATACTTTCTTATTATATGTTCATAAAGATCTCAATATTTACCACAACTTTTTCTTGAGTGTTATAGCCTAATCACATCAATTTCAAACATATACTGGTGTTTTATTTTGAATAATGTTTAAAACATTGTACTATATTTTGATGGTACATTTATCTGTTTATTTACTGGATAAGTATGGTAATAAATATATTGCTGCAGTATCATGTATGATTATCAATAAGGATATTAATGACAGCAATTTCTTAATTATCTTGTCATCTACCCAGATCAATCACCACTGTATTGAATCTATTTTAAAATGATAAAGTACATTTTAGAGTACATTTTTCTTAATCAAATATTGTAGGTTTGTTGAAGAGTAACTGCAGTTTGAGGGAATTATTTTGAGGTATTTCACCAAGTATATAAATCATTAAACCTGTTTTTCACAAGTTTAAAAGTAACATTTTGTTTCGGGGTATAATTCAGTATTTGCTAACTTCTGAAAAAAATACTTCTGAGTTCTTAAAATATACGTTTGTGTATTTGTGTATTAAACAGTGAGCTGCATATCATTGATTTTATGAATATCAAAACAATGGAATTTATTTGCCTAAACATGGAACGGGCAACAGATTAGATAGCTTTAAAAGAAATTAAACAATTTTGCAACTGATAAACTGTCCCAAAGTACAGTGTAGTCATGATAACTATGGATAGAATGCAAGCATGATTACATGATAGAATGCAAAATAGTATTCTTCCACCCTAATATCCAGCATAAGTATGAATAGCAGTTATTGGAGAAGAGAGGGAAAATATTACAGCTCACATTATTTCCAAGGTGGAAGGAAAATGGCTGTATATACCAGGAAGCATTTGGCTGTGTACAGTACTATAGTAGTCTATATTTGGTTGTCTATGATACTGGATTAAAGAAGTCTTTCATCCAATGTAGTCCCTGTATTCTTTAATGAAATATTTATATACCATTCAAACACACAACCAGGAACAAAAAACATAGTTATATTTTGTGTTCTAGATCAGGGCTGTCAAACTGGTGGCCCACAGACCAGATGCATCACGCGCAGGCCACACCCATCCCAGCTCCGCGAAGGGGAAAAATGTCGCAAAAGGTCACGCGACAACAACGTGACGCCGCGAGTTTGACACCCATGTTCTAGATTATTAAATGGTCTTTAGTCAAAGCAAGTGAATAAAATGTCATATTTTAGAACTCTTTGTATTTGTTGTCATATCTAGCAAATTCATAAGTTACGACGGGAACTGGTTGCATCTCAGGAAAAAGTGGCCACCCTAACATCACAACTGTCAGCAAATGTAAGTTATTTATTATCATAATAATTTTGATATAGTTTTATTCTGCATATATATCCACAGTAAATCTGTGAGAAAGATTGCTGTATTTAGGGGGAAAAAGTATTAGAGATGATATTCTGAGTTTTAAATGAACTATGTGTTACATCACAAACAAATGTCAAGAGAGTTCTTCCAACATGAGTGTACTAATAAATTCTGCTTATAAACCATGAAAGTGTATTTAAGTACCAGCTGCACAAAAACAGAAGCATCAACAAAGCAAAATAAAAAAGGCAGGTGGCATTAAAACACTAACATCCAAGAATGCATAAAAATAAGTTAAAACTTTTCTACTCTTTTTCTAATGAAAGAACTCCATGTAAATATATATATATATATATACTTTATAGTTTCAGTCAGTGAAAACCTCTGGGAGCATAATGATTACTGGTTGCTTTTATTTAAAATATTTTATAATATTTGAGTTTATGAATAAATATAATTATTAAGCATAGGAAGTCATGGAAAGGCTGAAGATTGATTATGTGCTTGCAAGTCTTAGCAATTACATAGATTTTATCCAAATTATTTTCTTGGTTAAAAAACAAGTGTGATTTACCACTGCTTTCCCCCATGCAATATGAATTGATGCCTTTGCTATCTAAACTGATCATCTTCCTTTATTGCTGATGTCCAATATAGATGCCTGTTGCTTTAATTGGGTGACTCTTCTGAGAATATCTACGCTTGACATACATTCCCAATAATCTTCATTCATTCCTCCCAGGAAGCCCCACACTATGTTGAGGCAACATAGCAGGACTTGTAGGAGGAAGAAGGGGAATACTGAAAAAGGAAGTTCCAATATGGTGTTAATTTACAGAGCTGAGATGGGAAATTGTATTTATTTGCTAAACTTTATTCGTTAAATTTATTTGCCACCTATCTTGCCATGAGGCTAGTGTAAGTGACTCTAAAGTGTATGTAGGCCAGTAAAAAAAAAAAGAGGATTAAAGTAAGGAAATTCCTTTCCCTATAATCCATGTAGAGAGACACTATTGGAAATCATTCTTATTTATTTAATAATGGTGCCCACTCCAACAATATGTCTTTGGGCAGCATACAAGAAAAAATACAACAGATTCAACATTTTTTACTGCAAATCATTCAAACTTGGATTCTACTCAACCTGACTTAAAAGCCTGGGGCAAGAAATATGTCTTGACTTCTTTTCCAAAGGCCTGCAGAGTTTAGTCTAATTGTATATCATTACAAAAAGGTATATTTACATGGGGAAAGGATAGTGTGAATCTATCTTCCTTCACTATGTTAAGCCTCTGGCTTATGCTTTATCCAACGGGGAAAGACTGAGGTGTTTCCTCAAGCAAAATAGAGAAGATAAACTGGACATTCGGCCTGCCTTACCCCAATTGGAAAAACTATGGACTGATTCATCACTCATGGTTGTGGAATGCATGTGCCAGAAATACAGCTATGAAGATCTTGGTGGTTTGGCTGGGGGGGGGAGAGAAGGGAATCGGGCCATGCAAGAGGTGGGCTGGCACACATGTGCACTCATTCAAGTGGCAGGCCGGTGTGCATGCTCACCCAGCTTGACTGCAAACTCAAGCTGTATGCATATAGACATCCGTGCCAGCCCTCCACTTGCACAAGTCAAGTGCTCCTGCTTGCACTTGCGCGCCTGCTGTCTGCCTATTCAGAATAGACCAGGGCCCAGTAGTGAACCACAGCCTGGAAGTTAAGGCTCCCTGCTCTAGGAGCAGTGGTGGGATTCTGCCGGTTCTAGGGGGTTCGGCTGAACCCTTTGTTAAATTGCTGTCTCGCCCCGCCCCTTGCCCCGCCCCTCCGCACTACTATTTATTGCCAATAAATGGGGCGAGCGAGCCAGCAATTTAACAAACGGTTCGGTGTTTTTTTGTAATTTATTGGCCCCGCAGCAGCTTGGCTGTCTCAGAATTCTGGGAGTTGAAGGCCACAGGTTGTAAAAGAGCCACAATTGCCCACCCCTTCCCTAGCCTGAGTTCCGCTGCCTGGGATCCACCTGGGCTGCCACGTGGTTCTCCACCGGCTCCGGACGCAAGAGAGCAGGATGGAGAAAGCAGCTTCCACGCCTTCACTCACCCTCACTCTCTGCTCTGTTGGATCGCCGGCCGTTCGCTTACCCCGCCCACTCCCAATCTATTGCTGCCTCCGGAGTCCCAGCTGATGGCTAGAGGAAAAAAAACTGTTCAAATTCTTGCCGCGGGGCTTCAAAGGGCCGCCCTATAGCCAGTGGTGGGATTCTGCCGGTTCTAGGAGCCGAACCGTTTGTTAAATTGCTGGCTTGCCCCGCCCCTCCACACCACTATTTATTGCCAATAAATAGTGGTGGGCGAGGGACGGGCGAGCCAGCAATTTAACAAATGGTTCGGTGTTTTTTTGTAATTTTATTGGCCTGCGGAGCTTCAGCATAGGCTAATTAGCCCTTGCTTAGATCGGCTCCCGAGTCTCAGCTGATTTGTCTCAGCTGTTTTGTTCAGGGCTCTGCTGCTTGCTGGAGCAATTTTTTTTCCCCTAGCTATCCTGAAAAACGAAACTGAAACTGCTTTGCTGTTGCTGCAACGTTGGATAATTAGGCAGGCAGATTTCTTTTCTTTTTCCTCACCAAAAAAGGTAGGTGCAAACAATGGGAAATTTAGGGAAAAAGAGGAGAGTTCAAGATTTTAAAACATAAAAGAAAAAAAGCTCTATTTAACTAGGGAATTGTAATAATTGAGATACTATTAATTGTATATTTCTGAAAGCAGAAATGGTTAAGTTGTGGTTTGGAGGAATATATGGGGGACATTATTTGGTTTATTATTATTGGTAAATATAATTAATTGATTTGTAAGAAATTGGATTGCATGGAAATAATTGGAATATTCATGTTCATATTGATTAATATACAAAAAAGGTAGTTATATAACTAATTGATTTATATTAAAATGTTGAATTTATATTAAACAACTAATATTACATAATTAACCAATGTGAAGATGGATATAAAAATAGATGGCAATGGGAAGGGGTATAATATAGAATAGAAGGGAAAAATTGAATTTGATTAAGATTAGAGATGAGGATGAAGGTAATATTGGTTTTTTACAAAAATAGATGAGGAATAAATATGGCAAAAAGGAAATATAGAAATTGTAAATTTAATTGAAATGACTAAACACTGTTTAAATTTGTGAACCGGCCAAATACTCTGTTCAAAGAAAATACATTATATGTTTGTATGTGTGTTTCTAATTATTGTTATTTATTCATATTTGTTCTCTTTTATTCTTTAAAGTTTAACAATTCATTCTTTTATCTTAATATCTTTATATTTGTTTGGGGTTGGCTTTCTTCCCTTTCATCTTTTTTATTGTACAGCAATCTTTCTCCTCAAACCTACCACCTCTCTTTTCTTTCCTTCTTACTTTCTCTTCCTCCCCCTCTTCTTCTCCTCCCTACTTCCTCTTCCTTTCTCCTTCTCCTCCTCTCTTCCTCCCTCTCTTACCCTCCGTCCTACTCTAATTTCCCTTCCCTTCCTTCATCCCTCTCTATTGCTGTATCCTTTTATGCATATGGACTACTCAGAGGGCTGCAAAAGTTATTTCTGACTGGTCCTCGTACTTTTGACCAGTCCTCGAACTTACGACCGTCCTCACATTTTACATTTTTGCCCTATCTTGTCACCATGGTGAAGAGAAGCAGTTGTGAAATGAATGACATGGTTGTTAAGAAAGCTGCACGGGCATAAATGATAACCAGTGATAAGTGCGAAGACCGATCAAAAGTGCGAGGACCTGTCAGAAATCACTTTTTTCAGCCCTCTGGGTAGTCCTTTTGTGCATATGGACTACTCAGAGGGCTGAAAAAGTTATTTTTGACTGGTCCTCGCACTTTTGACCAGTCCTCGAACTTACGACTATCCTCACATTTTACGTTTTTGCCCTATCTTGTCACCATGGTGAAGAGAAGCAGTTGTGAAATGAGTGACATTGTTGTTAAGAAAGCTGCACGGGCATAAATGTGAGGATGGTCATAAGTGTGAGGACCGGTCAAAAGTGCGAGGCCCAGTCAGAAATGACTTTTTTTCAGCCCTCTGAGTAGTCCCTATGCAGATAGCCACGCCCACCGGTCACATGACCAGCTAGCCACGCCTACACAGTCACATGACCAGCTAGCCACGCCCACCCAGTCACATGATTGCCAAGGCACACCCCCAACTAAGCCACGCCCACAGAACCTGTTGTTAAAAAAATTGAATCCCACCACTGTCTAGCAGACCTGAGGGAATAGGGAATTGAACCTTCTTGAAACTATTCTGTATAAATGCAGGAAGTCCCAATACCATTTTTTATTTTACATATAAGGCAGATGCTCTCTAAAGCAAATGGGGGGAAATTTCCCCTTGCCTCAGTCACTATGATTTCCATCGGTATTTTCACCATGTTTATTTTAGCCTCAAGACAACATTGAAATGCATGCAGCTTGTTTAGCAAACCATATCATTTACTGTAGATTCTCTTCTTTAAACCTTTCATTGAAAAAATTTGTTATTGTTAAAACAAACAAGCAAAAATGGTAATGAAGACTGGCAATCTACTGTGGAAATGTTTTCATACATTTGATACATAAATGTAAAATTACATTTAAAATATATAGTTTTGAGCAGGTAAGGTTATGATTGAAGAAATTACTGTAAGTAGAAACAGACCTGAGATGGCAAAAATGCATTCAAGCTTCTTTTCTGGACTTTACTGAATCCTTTTAAATCCTGATTATATTTGAATGTTTCCTCCTTTGTCACAGGCCCATCTTGTAGCCGCATTTGAAAAAAGCTTAGGGAATATGACAGGCCGGTTACAAAGCCTAACAATGACAGCTGAACAAAAGGTATGTTTGAACTGGCAGATGCTGTAATGTGGAGAATCTAACAATCCAATGGCACTGACTTATATTAGAGTTTGCATTGATAGAGGAGTACAGGAATAAACAAACAGGTGCATCTTTCTTTCATGACCCATGCTATCAAATCTTTACAATAAGACTCTATAAGAATCACATTACTCATAATTACAGTTAGCAAGCTGTATCAGAAAGAAGTGGGATGATAAAATCTTTCATTTTCAAGTTTTAATTAAAATATTTGTAACACTGGATTTAATGTGTATTAAAAATTTAACAACAAAAGCTGGTTGTAAACCAACAGAAGTAACTTGGCAACATTATCAGAATACTAAATATTAGTTGACAATGTTTCATGTTTTTAGCCTTTCAGTCAATATCTTGAAGGGGGTAGGACAAATAGATTTTCTTGACTTCACTGTTAAGTATAGTCAACTATTAACATAATAGTTGACATGTAAATTTAGGATATAATTTTGGCTTATGTTGCATCACATTGGGTGGCTAGGTCTTGACATTGCAGTACTCTAAATTAAACTATTTTCCAAGGAAGTCACAAAATATGGTTTCCAAGATGTTTTTCTAGCCACATAGTATTTTTATAGCTTTGCCTGTGCTCTGCCATTGAAAAAAGAAAAAAGCAGTTCCATTTTAAGTATTTATAGCATGGGTGTCAAACTCATCGCATCACATTGATGCCACGTGACATTTCATGACTTTTTCCCATTTGCGGACCTGGGGTGGGCATGGCCTGCACATGACACATCTGGCCCGCGGGCCACCAGTTTGACACCTCTGATTTATAGGAATACAAATTTGTTTTAAGAATCAATGAAAAATTAAGTGAATCAAAACATTTTCCTTTACATTCATTTGTATATGTGTGGGTGTAGGTGTGTAATTTAGAATGCTACATAAAATTACCAAACATTTACAGTGTGAGAAAAAGGTAGAGCAGTGAAAGTGGATAGAAAAAAAAACTACATTTTATGTCAATAGTTTAAAATTGCCCTAAACAAGAGGTTATTCAGTGCTTAAAAAGAAATGGTGAGTCTTCCATCTAAAGTGATAACAATTTTGTAAGAATGTGTGTTTTATCAAAAAAGAAAAATTATACAACAGAAAAAAGAAACATTTTTCTTCTTGTGTTCTATCACAATTTACTTGGTAGATCTTGCATTCAGAATTCTGGAAACAAATGAATGGATTTATTTTGGGTACATGGAAAATAAAATGTTTGAAACCTTAAATATGAAAATGAATGAAAAATGAGGGATGGGGATATTCTGGGAGCTGACATCCACATATATTAAAATCGCTGGGGCTGAGTAATAATGATATCAGTGACAAATGACTTGACTATAGAATGACACAAATGATGTAAATTTAAACAAATGGTGTTTAAATTGTGGATTTAATTGAATGGTATTATAAGACTCCCCAAAGGTGGTTTGAATGAAGTTTTTACTATATTGCTTTTTACCTTGATAAGCTTTTTCTACGTATCCTAATATGAAAAAAAATCAAAATTTTCTTGATTTGACTAGCAATAAGTGTTTTAAAGAATTTAAGTTTCAGTATATAAAATGAGAGCTGGAAATTGTAATGGAAGAAGCAGATATAGTTTCAACTATACGTTATGCTTACTAAATAATTTCTTTCTTTTTTTTTTTTTTTATTGCAAAAGTTTTACAATTACATTTTCACCCCTTTTTTCACCCCCCCACCTCCCTCCCCAAACTTCCCGTCCTCCCTAACCCTCCCTAACCCTCCCCCCCCCAGACTTCCCTATTATGTACTCATAACTAATAACACTGATATATATACCTGAACCCATCCCTCCCCCTATATAATTTTCCCTCTTTGTCTCTTTATATTAAAATATTTCTAATACATTGTTTTCAAATAAAAGCTATTTGATACTTTCTAATTTGGTATTTGTTCTGAACATATTCTATCCACCTTTTCCATTCCCATTCATAAGTCTCTTGTGAACAATCTTTTAAATATGCTGAAATCTTCGCCATCTCTGCAAAACTGGCCATCTTCGAAGTCCATTTCTCAATAGTAGGCAAAGCTTCATTCTTCCAATATTTACCTATCAACAATCTTGCTGCTGTTATCATATACAATATTAATTTTGTTTCATCCCGTGTAAAACCCTTAACTATGCCCAATAAAAACAATTGTGGAGAAAATTGAATTTTTTTCTTCAAAACATTCTGCATGACCCACCATATTTTTATCCAAAAAGCCTTAACTTTCCTACAGGTCCACCAAACATGATAATACGTAGCATCCAAACATTCACATCTCCAACATTTTGGCTGAACATTAGGGTACATACATGACAACTTTTTAGGATCTAGATGCCATCTATAAAACATTTTATAAAAATTTTCCCTCAAATTCTGCGACTGTGTAAATTTAACATTCTGAACCCAAATTTTTTCCCATGTTTCCAACATCACTGGTTCTTCAAAATTTTGTGCCCACTTAATCATACAATCTTTAACTAATTCCGTTTCTGAATCCCTTTCTAGCAAAACATTGTAAAGCCTTTTAATATGCATTGGACCTTTCTCTCTTATATGTCTAACCAATTCTTCCTCATGCAACATAATACCAGTTTTTTGGTCCTCTTTCCATCTCAATTGTAATTGATTATATTGTAACCAGGTTAAATTAATCCCTTCGTCCAACAGTGTCTGCAATGTCTTCAACTGCCATCTGCCCGCATCTGTAAAAAGAACCTCTTTATATAAAAACCCCCCGAGTGACATTATATTTGTATTCCACAAGGTATGACCAAGATCCAGCCATAGCGGTATTTTATAATCCCATTTGAGTCGGTGCTTCTTCCAAACTCTCATCAAAGAGTCTCTAAGTATATGACTTTTAAATACTTTATCAACTTTGTCATCATAAAATAGGTAAGCATGCCATCCAAATTCAAGATCAAAACTTTCTGCATTCAATATTCCAGCCTTTTTACCCCCAAACCAATCACTTGTTAAAGTTAAAGCTGCTGCATCATAATATAACTGTAGGTTTGGAAGTTTAAGGCCTCCTCTTTCTGGAACATCTTGCATAATTTTCAATTTCACTCTCGGCTTTTTCTCGTTCCAGACGAACTTATTAAGTCCAGTTTGCCAAACTTTCAGTTGTTTATCACTTTTAAGCACCGGAATCATTTGAAACAAGAACAGAAATCTTGGCAACATGTTCATCTTAACTGCTGCTATTCTTCCAAGTAAAGACAGTTGCAGCTTTTTCCAAGTCTCCATATCTTTCTGAACCTCTCGCCACAACACCTCATAGTTATTTTGAAACAATTTCATATTTGATTCTGCAACCTGAACTCCAAGATATTTTACCTTAGGTACAATTTCAAAACCTGCCCTCCTTTCAAGCTCATGTTTACGATCTTGTGTCATATTTTTGACTATCATTTTAGTCTTTTTTGAATTCAGTCTAAAACCTGAAACTCTACCATAATCTTGTATAATGTCATTCATCAGGATTGTTGATTCCATTGGTTGTGATAGGGTAACCACCAGATCATCTGCAAATGCCTTTATTCTATAATCCTCTTGCCTTATCATTATACCTTTCAAAATTTTTGAGTCCCGTATTGTATTTAGCAAGACTTCCAATGTTAAAATAAATAAAAGTGGGGACAACGGACATCCCTGTCTTGTTCCTTTTTCAATTTTAAACTCTGTCGTCAAACTTCCATTAATAATAATCTGTGCTTTTTGCTCTTGATAAATTGCTGAGATCGCCTGTGTAAATTGGTCCCCAAAGCCCATCTTTTTTAAAGTCTTTAGTAGAAAATTCCAATCCACTCTATCAAAGGCCTTCTCCGCATCCAAAAAGACCAGCACTGCAGAAATCTGTTTATTCTTATCAAGATATTCCAATAAGTCTATTACTTGCCTTACATTGTCCTTCATGTATCTGCCCTCAATAAATCCCGCTTGGTCCTCATGAATCACCTTTTGGATTACTGGCATCAACCTGTTGGCTAATACCTTCGCATAAATTTTATAGTCTGTATTCAAAAGAGATATTGGTCTGTAGTTCTCTGGTTTTTTAGGACCAACTTGTTCCTTTGGTATCAAAGATATATAAGCAGTTGTCCAGGATGGGGGTATTTTACCCCCTTGTTGAATATTGCAAAATAAATCTCTAAGTTGTCCCACCATTTCAGCTTGTAAAGTTTTGTAATACACTGCAGTCAAACCATCTGTGCCAGGAGCTTTAGCTGTTTTTAGCTGTTTAATTGCTACTATTATCTCCTCCTCTGTTATAAGATAATTCATTCTTTCCTTTTGTTGATCAGTAATTTTTGTAACTCTCTTATCCTTTAAATATTTTTCTATAAGTCCATTCTGCACCTCTTCTTTAGCATATAGTTTAGTATAATAATCCACAAAAGCTTCTTTAATTAATTTTTGTTGAAAAATTTCTTTCCCTCCAATATCGATACTGTCAATAGTCCGCATACTTTGTTTTTTCCTCAATGTGTAGGCCAACCATCTGCCCGGTTTATTAGCATTGCAAAATGTATTATGCTTCGCGTATTGTAAACTTGTTGCAACTTGTTCCGCCATAAGCATTTGGAATTGGTCTTTCAAAAGTTTTATAGCACTTCGTATTCTTTCATCTGTTGGGTTTTTAATAAGTAACTGTTCTTTATTCTTTATTTCCATTTCCAACTCAGATCTTTTCTTTTGTCGGAACAGTCTATGTTTAGAATTCATGTAGATAAGTACCCCTCTCATATAAGCTTTACTTGCATCCCAAACAATTTCAACTGGGGTACCTTTATTCAAATTTATTTCAAAAAATTCTTTCAAATGCTTTTTAAGTTCTATTATATTTTTTTCATATCTAAACAAGTTCTCATTTAATCTCCAAGAACGTCTCTCAACCTTATCCATCTCGATTTCTATCCATACAGGACTATGATCAGTCAAAGTTCTTGGAAAAATCTTTGTTCTTTTTGTCTTAACAAGTAGATCATTTGACAACAAGATAAAATCAATCCTAGAAAAGGATCTATGTCTATCAGAAAAAAAAGTGTAATCCAATTCATTTGGATTATGTATTCTCCAAACATCTTTTAGTTCCATATCTTCTTTCATATCAAAAAAGGTCTGTGGTAATCTAATTCTAGACTTTGCCAAGCTCTTTTTATCTAATTTAGAATCAATTACTCCATTCCAATCTCCCATGATTAAAATAGATCTGTAGTCCCATTGCAATATTTTAGTATGTAACATCTTGTAAAAATAATCCTGTTGTTGGTTGGGAGCATAAATTCCAATCAAAAGAATTTGCCCATTTGCTGTAAACAATTCAATTGCTACAAATCTACCATCTTGATCTACTTCTATAACTTTTGCTGTTAATTTTTTATTTACATAAATAACCACACCATTCTTTTTCTGCGAAGTTGAAGATATATAATGTACTCCTAGTTTTGAGTTTATCAAATATTTTTGATCTTGAGTTGTAATATGCGTTTCTTGTAAACATATTATATCATTATTAAATTGTTTCAAATATGTAAATAATTTTTTCCTTTTCTGTGCTGAATTCAACCCATTGACATTCCAAGATAAACACTTAAAGGTCATTAGCCTCTTTCTGGAGCGCAGAGCAATATGCTTGAAGTTCATCCGAGAGCTTCGATCTCGCTCCTCCCATAGCGCCAATCTCTTGTACAGTGCTCTTAACTGCCTTCTTGTCTTGTCTTTCCTGTTGTTGTTGTTGCTTTTGTTTAAGTAGCTTGGATTGAGCTCTAGTTATACGTTGATCTTTAACTTCAGTCAACTGAATCAAATCCAAAATTGGAGAAGAATCCAGCAATGGCTCACTCAGAATACCTCCTTCTGCACCTTGCACATTTTCTAATTCCTGCTTAGACTGTTCTTTCAATTGCCTCTCTTCACTCTCCTTAATCTCCAAAACTGTAGATGTACGTGGAGATGGTGTTCTTTCCTTAAGAATAGTACTGTAAAAGTGTTGCGCCTTCTCCACGGTATTCAACCGATATCCTTCTCCCTTATATCTAAAAATTACCCCAGCTGGTGCATCCCACCGGAAGGGTATCTGTAAATTTTTCAATTCCTTAACAAGAAAATCAAATTCTTTTCTAGCTTTCAGCATTTTAGGAGGTAATTCTTTAAAAATTACAAGCCGTGAGCCCCCCACTTGTATAGAAGTGTGAAAAGATTTTTGCAGGATATCATTTCTAATTTCTCTCTCAGTAAAGTATATGACCACATCTCTGGGTAATTGTCTTTGCCTGGCCACCCAAGAGTTCACTCTGTAAATTTTATCTATTTTATGAAATACCAAATCAGGATTAACTTGTAAAATCTTAGCCAGGGCTTCAGAGCAAACTTGTCTCAAGTCCTGTCTTTCCTCCTCTCGAATTCCCCGAAGCCGTATGGCAAATTCCATCGCCCGGAATTGTATCATAACAATCTCATCTTCAATTCTCTGCATTTTATTGTCAACTTCATCAATTTTATAGTCATTATCTTTCATCCTAACATTAACTTCTGATTTAAATTCTTCAACTTTAAAATCAACTTTCCCAATAAAATCTGCCAGGCCAGACGCCACTTCTGATATTTTTTTGGTCACCATAATTTGATTCTGTTTCACCATGTCTTTAACTTCATTAATTTCCTGCAAAAATTCCTGATGTGATTTTTGAAGTTTATCATCTATCTCCTGATGTGATTTTTGAAGTTTATCATCTATCTCCTGTTGTGATTCTTGAAATTTATCATCCAAAGTTTTAGAAATAAATTCTTTTAAATCTGCCACATCAAATTCTTTTTTCTGAGTTTGTAACTGTTGAGCAGGGGGAAGTTGCGTTTGATGTTTATGTGTGGGGGATCCCCCCCCTGATGCCTTCCCTTCCTGCTTCTTTGAAGCCATCGTGCCACGTAAGCTAGTTTTTTTGAAGAGGGAAGTTCTTTTTCCTTTCCCTCTTCCACAGAAACTTCTAAAGAAGTCCCCCAGATTTAATCAGGTGGAACTAAAATAAAGCAAAGTCAAATTTTAGCAAAAGAAATTTTTTCTTTAGATAGAGCAACTTTGTAGCAATTTTACAACTTTGTAGCAAAGCAGGGAGGCTTCACAAATCCACTTTCACTAGCTCGTTAACTCAAACGCTGGACGCCATTTTTTTTCAAATCACTTTCACTCGCTCACTTTCTCTTTTGATTTAAAAAGTCAACAAAGCACCAATACTTGCAGTTTTCAAGTTTCTGGATTCAAGTTGATATTTCCGCTGTTTGTTAAAATTAATTCCTCTCACTTTAAAAGTTTGCTGCTGCCGGCTTGTTCTGCTGAAGGCAGAATCGTCCCACGCCGCCCGGAGTCTCCGCAGGTTGGAAGGGAGCCACACCTGTTTTCACCCCCAGAAGCAATTCCCTGGGGGGGTTACAGGGGCTCAACCTGTACCCTGCTGTCTCTGCTCCTGCAATCTTCAAGATTTCGGAGTTTTCGAGCCGCACCTCGTTCGCGGGGCGGCTCTACAGGCGGCGGGGCTGGCGGTCTTTAAAAAGTCACCGCCGTCGCCGAAGCTCGCAAACCGGAAGTCCTTACTAAATAATTTCATACATTTTCTCTCTGTACTACATGTGAAATATAGTGCATGTCTTCACAAATGTTTACATTTTTCTCTAAAATGTGTTACTTGCAGCAGTTGTACAGATGAATAACTTCTAATTTAAGGACTTTACATTTGATTAGCAGAGATGAGAAGCAAACAAGAAACCTAATTTTCTTCTTAGTTTCACTTGCATTTTTCACGTACACCTTATTTTCATTCCATTTTGTGTGTTTTTACCCCAGAGAATAGAACCTAATTACTGTGACACATTTTGAGCCTTTTCCCTCCTGTTCCCAAAGGAATCAGAACTCATAGAACTACGGGAAACTATTGAAATGCTGAAAGCTCAGAACTCGGCTGCACAGGCTGCTATTCAAGGAGCTCTGAATGGCCCTGACCACATTCAGAGAGGTATGGTATTCTGTCTCACTTTTCAGGAATGTAATGGTAGCTCATTACCAGCTTTCTGTATTTTTTTTAAAAGAATGAGTTTTGTGCCACATTTGTAGAACTTCCCATATGAAAATGTATGTTTACAATGTTTCCAAGTCTTAAAAAGTTCAACTTCGAAAGTTTTATTTACTTATTTATTATAATTTGTGAAACAGAAACAAAAACAGGAATAATATAAAAATGCAATGACAGGGACTATAGGCACATTAATGCGCTTATGGACGCCCCCTCTACGGACCTCTTAAGTGAGGTCCACAGAAGACAATTTGTGACTAAAAGTGTGAAAATTTGTATATGAGACAACTGAATCAGGTAGAGCATTCCAGACTTTGACAACTCCATTAGAAATATAATAGTATAAGAGTTTGGTTCTTCTGAGGAACTACTAAGCACTTCTGGGTTGAAAAATAGCACATTAGTACTAGAATCACCCGTAGAGCTCAAGCCAACAATGTGGAATTGAAGGGCAGTTCTGCATTTTTCAATTTTCTATCCACTTATATTAAATGGGATTGGAGATGGCATAAACAATGCCAACTACAGACTGGCATAAGGAGGATCATGCTGCCTTTAAGAGGCAACCAAATAATTTTAGATCCTTCAGATCTCTACTTCTTTACTCACTTTTGTTCCATTTCTAGATGTCTCTAGGTTCAATGAGTTCTCTATAAAATCCATGTCTATCGTTTTTTAACCACCTATAGCAGGTAATAAGGGATACTGTGGCTTAGTGGCTAAGACGCTGAGCTTGTCGATCAAAAGGTCGGCAGTTCAGCGGTTCGAATCCATAGTGCTGCATAACGGGGTGAGCTCCCATTACTTGTCCCAGCTTCTGCCAACCTAGGAGTTCGAAAGCATATAAAAAATGCAAGTAGAAAAATAGGAATCACCTTTGGTGGAAAGGTAACAGCGTTCCGTGTGCCTTTGGCGTTTAGTCATGCCAGCCACATGACCACGCAGACGTCTTTGGACAGCGCTGGCTCTTTGGCTTTGAAATGGAGATGAGCACCGCCCCTGGAGTCGGGAATGACTAGCACATATGTACGAGGGAAACTTTTACTTTTACCTTTAGCAGGTAATATGAGGGTTTTTAGAATGATTTTCTTAGTTATCAAATACACTTTTTGACTTCCTTTAGGATGTGTCATATCTTCAAGACCTTTTAATCACATTTATCTCTGGAAGAATGTGACGTATATATCTGCTTCAATTTAAAACATTGACTGAATTACGCAATTCATTAATTTTATTCTGTAATCTGTAAGCCATTCCATATGTTATTTCAATAGACATGAGCAGAAGAAGAAAAGGATGTTTCAAAGGAGAACAGAACTTAAGAAAGTATCGTTCCATTAATTTATAGTTGTTCTGGATTTAGTAAAAACAATCAAGAATAATCACGAGATGTATTAAATGCTTTATATCATTCCTTAAATAGTCACAATTATAGACTGGATAAAGGATGTAGGAGTTACATTGGGGAAAAGGATGTCGACACTATTTCATTTCTCTTTATATTATAGATTTGCGAATAAGGCGACAACATTCGTCTGAAAGTGTTGCCAGCATCAATAGTGGTACAAGCCATTCAAGCATGGGTAGCAGTAATGATGCTGATTCCAAAAAAAAGAAAAAGAAAAATTGGGTAAGTACTTGTTTAAGTAAAATTGACTGCCTGTCCTTTTGTATAATTCTTTATTTCATAAATAATATAATGAATGAACCATGTAAATCATTGTTTTAATGCCCTTCATAAATATAGTTGTTGATGCTGATCTAATGCTGATATACTAGATAGGTATATTTTTTTTTGCATCTTGCTCTATTGTTTATGCATCAAGATCACATCATATTGTTGATGTAAATGAATATGACAACATAATAACAGGCTTCACAAGTTACTATATTTGTTCACTATATACAATATATTAATTGTCCAAAGTACTTTATAGGACGATCCATGAAATATGGAAAAAAAAAGTAAAGATAGCAGCCACAAAAGTGCAATTGAAGTTTGTACTTGTTTTTTAATGTTTGTCATGCATTAAAAGTAGGCATAACTTTTTATCACATTCTTGCTATCTTTTTTTTAAAGACTCTGTAGACATTCTTGGTAGTTTATTGTTCCATGAAAGAAATGTAGTAAATATCTTTAAAACATAAAGAAAGATGAAGGTCTTGAATTGAGACACATACCTCAAGAACTAGAATTTTACTGACATAAAAGTAGGAAAATACTTTTTATTGTTTAAAATATGTTTATTACACAGGTAATATTTTAAAAATACTGATTCCAACGTCATTCCCTTGATTTGTAATTGCACACTCTTTCATGTTTCTGCAAGGTGAACTCTAGAGGAAGTGAGGTGAATATAAAATCCTGGAAAATTTGGCATGCATCTCAAAGAATTCTATCTTGGCATGATTGCTATTCATTTTGGCATTAGGCTTTTGTACCCTTCTGAAATATTATCCTTTATGTCTCCTTAATGTTTCTCTTCATTTTACCTCCAACTTTAAAATCTGGAAAGGGGAAGTGTCGCCAAAATCCATTTCTTTCTCATTAGAAAACATGAAACGGCGAAAAGAAATGCTGGATGATGGTTAACCAGCTCTTAGCCTCCCAGTTCTTGAACAGGGATGGAAGAGAAAGTTGATTCAACTTCATACAAACCAATCTGTGCTTTCCAAAGTAACATGCCAACTGGAATGCAATATTTTTCCTCTATTTTGGCCCTTCTCCAAATAGTGCAATGCAGTTCTTCAAACAAAATATCTACCAAAATACACACGTTAGACAAAACTGCATATGAAAAGGTGGATACTAGCCAGTGGTGGGTTTCAAATTTTTTTACTACCGGTTCTGTGGGTGTGGCTTGGTGGGTGTGGCATGGCTTGGTGGGTGTGGCTTGATGGGCATGGCAGGGGAAGGATACTGTAAAATCTCCATTCCCACCCCACTCCAGGGGAAGGATACTGTAAAATCTCCATTCCCTGCCCAATCCAGGGCAAGGTTACTGCAAAATCCCCATTTCCTCCCAATCAGCTGGGACTTGGAAGGCAGAGAATAGATGGGGGCGGGGCCAGTCAGAATTTTTACTACTGGTTCTCCGAACTACTCACAATTTCCGCTACCGGTTCTCCCGAACTGGTCAGAACCTGCTGAAACCCACCTCTGATACTAGCAGATATTATTACAAAAGTGAAGGTAGTACTGGAAATCATATACAAAGTGTATATCTTAAGAAAAAATATACAAAATGATATTTTTACCAACAGAAGTCAAAAATTCTGATGAGAGAAATCTATATATACTTCAAATAAATTGAAGTTCTAGCAAATAAAATAGAGACGTATATCCAGTTCTATTTTTGAACTGATTCTTATGAAAGAATATATATTCCAAAATTTAGATGAAGGTAATAAAAACAACTACTTGGGAACCATATTTTCCCCTTGGTTTAAGTAATCTGCTTGCTCATAAGAATCCTTTGACAGCTCAGACATAAAAGATATAGTGCTTATTAGAGACCTAGCTTTTGCCATCTCAACTATTGAAATAAATGGCTGTTTGGCTATTCTGAACCTTTCAATAATGGATAAGAGCTTTTAGACAATAAAGGTCATGCTTGCATACATGAACTTGCTTCTTTAAAAGAACTTAAGCAAATGCTTTCTGTTTCCCAACCCTTTCAGCTTCTTGTCAGTGGAAAAGCAAATACTGCAGCTTCACAATGCTTATTTCTGAACAGTGCTACTGTGGAAGTTATAATATCTAATATTTCTGGGACAAAATGTCTCCTCCCTCAAATAATGCACAATGTCATATTGATTGGAATTAAGTGTATTTTATAAGCCAGTGACTTTTTTTTTAAAAAAAAATTACTTATTTAAGACCGATCATCTTAAAGTGAATGCCAGAAAGAAGGTGTTTCACAACAGGTGTGGGGTTTTAAATCAGTATCTGTTTATCAGTACAGTTCGATTGTGTGCATTTCCTATAACACAGTCCTCAGTTAATTTTAAAAAGCACCCTGTCATGTTTCTAAAGATATGGTGTTGCACATGATAATGCCCTGCTTTGTCTATACACTTACCTCAGGTACTAGCTAGTTGGCCTCTGCAAACTAACCTCATACAAGAACTCTCTCAAAAATGAGGAGAGCTAAATTGTCAAAGATATTGATGTTCCTTTCTTTTCTCTTAGCTAAGGAGTTCATTTAAACAAGCTTTTGGAAAGAAGAAGTCATCAAAAGCTCCTTCCTCCCATTCTGACATAGAAGAAGTCACAGATTCATCTCTTCCATCCTCACCTAAATTACCTCATGGCTCTGGAGACTGTGGATCTACTTCAATCAGGCCATCCCAATCAACTTCACTGTATGTTTATTCTTTGAGAAATGTCTCTTTGCGAAAGTGTCAATTTTTATATGGGATAGTTTTGGAAAATAAGTCACTATTATTTCTGAAAAATAATACCAAGAAGCATTGCCTCTTTTTAAAGATTCAAGCCATTTTAATTCTCTACAGGTAGTCCTTGCTTAATGACTATAATTGGAATCAGCAATTCTGTTACTAAGCAACATGGTTGTTAAGCAAAACATCACATAACTGCACCTGATTTACAGTGCCACTTCCATGCTGTTGTTAGTTGAATTAGCCATGATTTTTAAGTGAGACATCATATGATTTGAAATTTTACTGCCGGCTTCTGCATTGCCTTTGCTTGTGAGAAACCAGCTAAGAAGCATGCAGATGGCAATCAGATAACTGCAGGATGTTAAAATGGTTATATGTGAGTGGACCGGTCATAAACTTACTTTTTTAGTACCATTGCAAGGTTGATAGTTGCTAAACAGGGCAGTCATTAAGCGAAGTCTACTTATAATTATCTCATGGAAACAGTACCCTTTAATCCTTCCATTATTCTTACATTTCATATTAAGTTGTTGCTTTTTAAAATTAGCTGCCACTGTGCTATGCTTTCTCTTTTTTAAAAAAATATTCCTTTCTTATCCAAATGTTCAGCTATTGTTATTTGTTGTTTTTTCTTTTCTGCTTTAAGTAATTTCTAACAGCTTGATTTACTCACATGGCTAAATGTGAAGCTAAAAATCTATAGGAAGAATAACTTCTATATATTAGATTTCCCCTCTACAATTTTTTACGGACACCTCTTTCCATTAATAAGCAAAAAAAGTCTTCAAACAATAATTCTCCTTGGTTTTCTCAAACCCAAGCAAAGGAAGTCTGCTAAAACACATACAGTACTCATGAATGCACATGAATGTAAATGAAATCCAGTCAATAGGGTAGGAGGGAAGGAACCACTCCTGTTTAATAATGAATTGCCAAATTAAAATGAATTGTGTAAAAATAATGTGTTTCTCATAATAGCCTGCCAGTTTCTTGAATCACTAGACACATGCCTCCTTTTGTTCAATCCCAGAAACTCTTTGGCCATGAATACAATAACTTTGATGATTGCTGCTAATAATGAAACTGGTGTAGCATGGCCCAGCAGTTCCCAAGCTAATAAGCACCATTATGACATATCCCAGCTGCCTTCTGTAACCAGTAAGAGAAAGCAGCTTAAAATGTAAACCTTGGAGCATTGGCATTTACATAGCTCTGACTGTGGAATACTGAGGTAGGCTAGATCTGTTGTAATACCCTTCACCAGAGGTGAAATCCAGCAGGTTCTGAAGAACTAGTAGCGGAAATTTTGAGTAGTTTGGAAAACCGGCAAATACCACCTCTGGCTGGCCCCAGAGTGAGGTGAGAATGGAGATTTTGCAATATCCTTCCCCCAGGAATGGGGAGGAAATGGGGATTTTGCAGTATCCTTCCCCTGGAGTGGGGTGAGAATGGAGATTTTGCAGTATCCTTCCCTGCCACACTGACCAAGCCATGCCCACCAAGCCACACCACACCCACCAAGCCACGCCCACAGAACTGGTAGTAAAATTTTTGAATTTAACCACTGCCCTTCACTCTTGATTGCAATAAATATTTGTACAAACTAAGCCAAATAGATCAATTCCTGGACAGATGGAAGTTTATAGAGTTACAATTACAATCGTGCTGACATGAAACATGCCACTTGCCACTCTGCAAAACATTCTGCTTGTTGTGGATCAAGAAATGCTACCCATTTCAACACACACACACACACACACACACACACACACACATATAAAACTGCAGTGATGTGTTAAAAGGGACTTTCTTTCTGGTTCACAGTTATGCACCATAATAGTGCAATTGTGATTCCTCATGAAACATCTGTTTGCTGAAGTGCAACATTTCAAATTACCAATTGGGCAGAGGCAGATATCAAATATCTGAATGTTTTGACATGCTGAAATAATATTTTTGCACATTGTGAATCAGCCTATCGGGAAAGATATCCTGTCTTAGCAGTTTCTCTTAAACTGGTAAATTAAACCTGCCTTAAATATATGACATAAAATAGCAATCTTGCCTGAAACGACTGCACTCCAAAGCATGCTGATAAAAATCACACTGAATACTGTAAAACCTTAAAATTGTACCTTAAGTCTTGTACCCGTAGATTTTGGTGATTTATATTGTTCCTACATTCAACATGATAATGAAAGGCATAAACAAGAGTTGTTTAAACTGTGACATAATCTTCATATTTAGTTATCATTCCCTCTTAAAGCTTTTACTTTTTCATTCTACTGCATTTTTTATTCTGTTTCTTTCTTGGTTTCTTATCTTCTAAACCATTTCCTTTACTTTCTTTCACTTGCATCTGTCTGTCTAATGCGTGTATATGCAGGTCATCTCTATTCTGGGCTCCAAAGAAAAGACAAAATGGTCCCGTGATCTACAAGCATAGATCCCGGTAAATTGGCACAAGGGGCTTGGAGTTATTTATCCAAGAACTAGACGGATGTTCTCTATTTTCTCCCTAAACGTCTTTGCAGGCATGCTTTGAAAATACAATATATAGATTATATGTTGTAGAAAAAAATGGAACTAAAAGAGTATTATGTGAACAATGGTGTGGTTGCTATTGTACATCAGTTTAATAATGAGCAGAAAGGACATGTTTTTTTTTTATGCTCCAAAGGAAAGAATTAAAAATTGAATTTTCAGTTTTAATTCACTATTAAAGTGAATTTAATTCACTATTAAAGTGTTCTCGATTTCATCTTACGTGGTTTCAGAAACAGAAGCATGATGTCATGTATATGTATTTACTGCTCTCTGTTATGCCATGCACAAAGTTCCATATGGCATATACTCGGTACAACTTATGGAAATTATTGAATATTAGCATGGAAATTATGGAAATTATTGAATATTAGCATTTTTGAAATCGTTACAGATTAAATTCTACAGTCATAGAATAGACATTTTGAACACCATAAAAAAGAAATCAATTAAGTCAGATCACATATACTGATATTTAATGTAAGTATTGTGTAACCTCATTATATATGAGTTGGACTGAAAGACAAATCATCTGAAAAATCATATCAAAAGAGAAAAATAATAGTTTAATAGTAGCAATGAAGTTTTAAATTATATTATTTTGGAAATCATTTACTTTTAATGAAAGCAGGGGTATTATTTAATATAGGAATGATTTGTAAAATGCAGTCCTATTGAATTTGGAGTATAAAACATCATTGTTCTTATAAAAGGAAATAAGTAGAAAAGTTGTAGAAACATCCTTACAACTTTAACCTAGATACTGTTTCCCCTTTTCACTTTTTTCAATTGAATTGATTCATATTGCTTTGATGAAATTCTCCCTCCTGCTCCTAGGAATCAGCAGCAGAAACCTTTTCTGATTCTTGGATATACTATAATAATACACACACACACCCCTCCGGGAGAAGAGAACCTTCCTTTAATTTTCTGCCTCTTTACCTTCTCTTCTTTTTTAAGGATCTGTGAATGCACAGAAGCAGAGGCAGAAATAATTCTGCAGCTAAAAAATGAGCTCAGGGAGAAAGAGCTCAAGCTTACAGATATTCGTCTTGAAGCCCTCAGCTCTGCCCATCATCTTGACCAAATTCGGGAAGCCATGAACCGCATGCAGGTCAGTTCTGTGGAACAACTGATTAGGGCATTATTTTTTAAAAAAATAATAATGCTGTACTGTAATCACCCTGAACTGAACAGAGCCATGAAATGGTATCAAAGCCAGCAGTCAATATTGGGATTGAAAAATAATTAGATGAAAGACAAATTAGATCGAATCAATCCTTTCTAAAAAAAAAACACATTATTTTGCATAGCATCCCTTTTGGTAGTTATTGGCAAAAATTCTCTATAATTGTCAATTCTTTTGCAAAATGTTACAACTTATTCAAAAAGCAGAAGGACTTCTGGGTATTTTAGAAGTATTCTGGTTGATTCAATCAAGAACTACATCAATTTAAGAAAATCTTCATAGTTGCTTATTTCAACTCTAACCACTCAATATTATCTTTTTGTTCTATGATTGTCTTGCTCATCAGATAAGGATATCTGTATATTTTACATTTACTTTACTTCATCTATTAATTTCAAGCATTTAATACAATGCTGCAGTGCTGTGTTCAAAGCGCAAAATTGAAAGAGAGAGTACAATTTAGACCTATCTGAAATCAAGTTCCTAGAATTTGATAGACTGGTTCTTGTACTTGTGGAGTATGAGTCCTTTTGTATTGAAAAGCTGAACTGATGTGATTCAGTCTTCTAAACCAAGAAAATAAAATAATTCAGTGGGAGAAAAAGATAGAATGCAGTGCTTAATTTGTGAAATACCAGAATAAAAATAAAAATTCAGAACTAAAAGTTAAAACAATATAGATAGCAGTTAATATCAGTTGAAAGATGTAATAATAATTCATTAAATTTCTATGCTTCCCAAATCAACTCTGGTCTTCACAATCTCTATACTTGTATATTATTGAAAATATGTGCAGCAATTTTCAATGTACTACAAATACATTGAAATCTATATTTAAGATAGAGTGCAAAAAGAAAAGCTAAGAATATTTCTGAGGTAGAAGAGTTCAACTATAGGAACGATATGAAAGTTCTTATTCCAACCAAAGAACAAATTATATAATATTTACTGAAAGGGTAATTTATCCAAATTTATTTCTGCACTTGCCATATTCAGGGTTTTCTGATTCTGAAATTGCCAACAACTGCACATAAAGTAGGTAAATATGCAGAAAGATTTCATTATGTACCGGCTCATGTAAAATTCAATTTAGTAAAATTTTTGTATTCAACTGTATTTGTATTAGGTCAGATCTTCTGCTTTCTATATTCTGTGATTACTTAGGGATTGGGTAAATTCTCTTTATGCTGTTTCCAACATTTACTTATAACATTTGTCTAGTTAAGTAATAGTTGTAATTGTCAAAATACCTGAATGACTGATTGCCAAATTAGGATCTTTGTATTTAACTTAGTCGTTAAAAAAAAAAGCACTGGGATTAGTTTGATGAGTTAATGAATTTGTCATTGCAGGAAACTTAAAGAAAGAACTGAACTCTTTCTTTCTTATAAAGAGGCAGCCTTCATCTGCAATTGATGTTTTCAATGGAAAGAAAGAGATCCTTAATTTGGTTTTGGTTTAGTTCTTTAAGTCTATCTTTAATTACCAGTACATGAAATCTCCCACAAAGACTACTATTTGGATTTATCTCAATAATGCAATTAAATGTGAGATTAATTGTCATGATATTAGATAGATATTATTGTTATGATATTGTCATATTAGATAGATATTATTTTGCTCCATTGCTATAACTATATGATATACTTCAAAAATATGATAGCCTCAAAGTTCCAGTTTATATACCAATGAAAATTCTTTCTATATTTTTGCACCTCTGTTGCAAAATTGTTTGGTCTTAATGGTTAAATTATTATTATCCATATTATACCAGAAAGATTAGAAATCTCTGCTTCATTTATTTAATTGTTTCTTACTTGTATTTTATATGTTAGAATGAAATTGAGATTTTGAAAGCTGAAAATGATCGTTTGAAGGCTGAGACTGGAAACACTAGCAAACCTATCAGGCCATGTTCAGAATCCTCAAGCAGCACATCTTCTTCCTCTTCGCGACAATCTCTAGGTCTCTCTCTGAATAATTTGAACATCACAGATTCAGTTACATCTGGTAAGTAAAAGCTTTATTCTCTTAAGAAATATTCTTGCATCAAGGAACACTTCTCTTTCTTTCTCCTCACACATTACCCCACACTTACAGACTTCTTGCCAAATATAATTTTATTGTCAAAGTACAGAGAAATGTAATTAAATTTGGAAAGGTGCTCATTATGTAAATGAGGTTTACAACTTTGAAAATTAATATAAAATGAAATAATCCTATGTTGTATTAAGGAAAATTGAAATACTATATTGTTGTTGATTCTTTCTATTGTATTGAATGTAGTAATAGCAATAGTAGTATTGGCTGGATGTTTCCTGTTTTCACTTGAGGAGGTTTTCTATGAGGGAAACTATAAATCTATGTGTATACAATACATATACAGTAAAATACTGTATATAGAAATGGAATAATTAAATGTGCATTTATAATTTTTTTCTTATATATGTGTTATCTATGTTTGTCTATCAATGGTGGTATTCAAATTTTTCCCCACCAGTTCTGTGGGCATGGCTTGGTGGGCAGGTCATGTGACTGAGGAGCAGCACCTTGTTGTGAGAGACATCTAGTTGGCCACATCCACTCTATCCCCACCAAGCCATGCCCACAGAACTCGGTAGGAAAAAAAATTGAATTAATACCATATTTTTCCTTAACATCACCCATTCCCCAAGACCCTGGAGCCTTCTCCCACTAGCTGCCCGCTCTCCCTTAAGCATGATATGTTGCCCCATTTCCCCTCCTTCAGAGTCCCGAGCCCTTACTCAATCTCCCTTTTTCCTCCCCCACGACCGCCTGCTTCTTCGTCCCTTGGCAAGCCAGAACTGAGCCATCGCCGCTGGAGTTCCTGCCAGCCAGCATCTTGCCTCCCTTGTCACAAGATGCCTGCAGCTGCCACCTCTTTTTTTCAGTGCAAGAAGCCTCCCAGCCGCTGCTTTGCCAGCCGGAACCAAGCCCACTGGCAAAGCAGGATTTTTCTAAAAGGATGGATGTTTCAAAAATACAAATGTTAAGGATTCAAATATTTGACATGCAAAATAGGCAACCAAAAATAAGGCCAAACATTTTTTTTGCCTAAAACAAATGGATAACTGATTCAGAGTCATTTTTATTCAAGAATATTGTAACCTTTTTGTCATACTTGAAAAATGATCTTGCTTTACTATGCTCCATACCAAACTGAAACTATATATGACTGTATTTTCATTTGATTCATCCTTGCTAAATACTAATTGATGAATTTTATTTGTATTATTGATTTCATCTTGCAGGTGATTCTCATCTTTCTTCAGCGATGTAGTATCTGTTTAACAAAATTCTTCACTTTTTTTTTTCTTATTTTCTACTCTCAGCCATATGAGAGTACCATTGAAATGTTGATTATTTTTGTCTTGGCACTCAATGCAACTCTGCAAATGGATGCAACATGCTGATTAGTATCTTAACACTGTAACCAGTTTGAACAATCAGTCACACAGGGAAATGGCTTTCAGTCCATTTATGATCCTCGTTAAGTAGATAAGTACTCAGGTAGAATTGGATATGTTTCTTTACACATATTACATTCTGACATCCTGAGTTGGCATCTGACTCCAACTCACAGAATCCATATATTCAAAATATATATTCATTTTGCTTTTGCAAGCAAACAAACAAACAAAAAAATTCAGAGACAATTATAATCATAGCCTTTTACAGACTATATTCACACAAATTTAACTTTATTTTTAAAGATTATTTATTTATTGTTTACTTGCTTAGATATTTTACTGGAAGATGTTGCAGATGGAACTCTCCATAAAGAAGGCCAGAACGTTAAGATCATTGTCACAATAAACAAGGGCTACGGTCGATCAAAGGTATTATTCTGGCTTCCAACTTTTATTGCCATACGATTATCTTAATTATCTTTCTATAAATGCTACTGTTGCTATAAAGGCTTTTCTGTTCTAATCAGCAGTTTATTCAGTTTAGACCGCAACAAATAATATTGCAAGAATTTATTTTTCTCATGCTGTACTTACATTGGCATCATTGACATTTATTGGCATTTTGGTATAATTATGTGTGATTTATAGAAATGTGGACATTCATAATTGTATCAGAAGAGCTGTGGTTAGAATGTAGCTATTTCTATTGACTGCCAATTGCCAGCAATTTGGCAGTTCAAGTCTCATTGGCTCAAGGTTGACTTGAGTATTCCATCCTTCAGAGGTCGGTAAAATAAGGACCCAGATTGTTGGGGGCAATATGCTGACTCTGTAAATTGTTTAGAGAAAACTGTAAAGCACTGTGAAGCAATATATAAGTCTAAGTATATAAGTGTTATTGCTATTGCTATCAATAAATATTTTAATATAAATCTGCAACATATTTGGTATATCTGTAACATAAAAATACTATTTTTCTCTGCAGAAAAACACTCAGAGAAGCTTGACAAAATAATTTATCAGTATTGAAATGACTTCTTTCTTACATCATTTATCTCCTCTCTTCATAGGACCAAAGAATACAGGCATATTTGATAGGTTCTATCAGGGTCAGTGGTAAAACAAAATGGGATGTATTAGACGGTGTAATTAGACGACTTTTTAAGGTAAGATTTTGCAAGTTTAATACAATGAGCATCAAGCAGATTTTGTGACAGATTTGGAGTTACCATATCCCAGCTGCAAAAATCCAAATGATTATGAGATGGCAGCAAAAAGACTCAGAAAACTCTACTTGTGGGCCAGGTTTTTAACAAACCAAATATGTTAGTCCTATATCTGCAACCAGTTTATAGGCTAGTTTACCTGTAAATAAAGGAAAACATATATGAGGAGCCAGGACATTCCCCACAATGAGTTAAATAAATTGATTTCACATCTTAGGCTGATTAGGGTCCGTGAGATTGGTGTTTGTGGGGGTCCTAGGTGTCTCTGAGTTTGGTTGTTTTCTTGCAGATAGTTCATTTCCAAACTAGGAAACATCATCAGTGATAGAAGGGAATGGGGTTTGCTCTCATTTTATATGCAAGTGGCTTGCCCTATCAGTGTTGGTGGGAGTGGTCTTGGTGGTTCCTTGATTTGATTGTTTACTGTTAATTAATTTGTCTGAGTTGGTAGTTCTTTGATTGGGATGTTATCCAAGGCCATGCTCTAGATCAGGGGTGTCAAATTCGTGGGCTGCGGGTCGGATGCATCACACACTGGCCATGTCCACCCCTGTTTTAGCGAAGGGGAAAAAAGTTACAATAAGTCACATGATGACAACATGACATCGGACGTTTGACACCCCTGCTCTAGATTAAAACTTGTTCCTTTCATAGAACTACCTAAATGCAGCTGGAGTAAATTGAGCTTCATTTGCACATGTGATAAACTGGCCAAATGCCCAGAACTATTTTTTTCTTCAAGAGTGAAGAAGATTGAAGTTTCTGGTTTTCTCTAGTTTTTAGTTTTTATGATGATGTTTTTTAAATACTTGTGTTTTATTATTATAAACTGCCCACAATCTAGGTAGCTGACAAGATAGAAATCAAAACAATTATAATTATGTCTTATAAAATCCAACAAGAAATACTAGACATTTTTGAGTTATTGTTTTTTGACATTCCCATTTAAGCTTAATGTATATTCTTGATCTACAAGTTGTGGTAATGAGAATGGCATATGAACCAGTAGATTGATAATTCATTCATTGATACTATAAACTATGAATGTTTTCATTTGTTGTTGTTTTTTATTATTTTAGGAATATGTTTTCCGAGTAGATCCAGCTACGAGCCTTGGTTTGAGCTCAGATTGTATAGCTAATTATTGCGTAGGTGATATAATTAGAGCCCATAACCAAGAAGTACCTGAATTGCTACCTTGTGGATATCTGGTTGGAGATAATAACATAATCACAGTGAATCTTAAAGGTAAAACACACCTTTAATTTATTCCCTTTTTCTTCTGCATACTCTGTAATGTTGTTTCCATAATATACTGTCCAAAAGAATAGAAAAAATTATAACTACATGATCAATTGCACTTTTAAGTTGCATAAAAGTCAGGTAAAAATAAAAGTAATAATTTAAAATAAAGTAATACAATTGTTGGATACCAGTTTGAAGGTATAGTCTGTTAGGAATAACAGACTATAAGTATTAAATGACCTGGTACAGATTAGAATAGTTTAAATATTAAACAACCTGGTATATCTGCCCTGGTATACCGTAGTTGAAATGGCTGCTTTTTAAAACAAGTCTGGAACAGATAATGCCCATTTTCTTCTACACATGATTTCCACCAATTAGTTTTCCAGTAGTAAATGTGATAACTGTAATTTATGTCAGTTTCATAAATTTAGGTTGGTTCATAAATGCATTCTAGCTTCATCAGTGACTAAATATACATACATAAACATAGAATGAATTTTAGTCTACAATTCATTATTACTTAGCTATTCAAACGAAAATAGACATTTCATTTCTAATACTTTCTTGTGACCTAAGAATCATATTGTAAAGGACAGAATCTTAGAATCCATATACTGATTTAGGAAATTCAAATAAAAATAACATTGACCAGTCCAAAGGTATATTTGGGACAACCACAGGCAAATATGTTTGCCGTTAGTGGACTGGATATAACCACGTAATATGAGACTGAGCTGATACATCCTTTACATTTCAAACATAGGTCTTATCATCTCAACCACTTCACCACTGATGGTTCCTACTTTAGCATCACCTTTTTTTTGGTAGCATCTAAAATTTCTTATTAATGTTAAATTAATTGTGAGAATCTCATATGTGCATAGTAATATTTGTATTATTATTTTTAAATGAAGACAAATTTATAAACAGAATAAATAAATGTTAAAGAATGAGGAATTAGGATTCTGAATTAAATATTTCAACCATGTAGACAGTGTAGTGATTTCAACTATGTAGACATAGGGGGGGGCCTTCAAAGGAACTGTCTGTGATTTACAGCGATATTTCTGATCTGCTAACTCATGCTGTAATCAGTTTGACCTTTTTAAGTGTCTCAGACATTTCAGATATGCCTTGCTGCCTCACCTAGTTTTCACTTCACATTTGCTTTGATTGCAAGTACTTATCTAATCACGTTGCTACATTAATATTCAATGAATTGACTTTTTAAAAAAGTATGAAAAATTATTTCTCTAAATGATTCCATACTTTCTCCAAAACAACATAATCAATAGGAATTTTTTTCCCTGTTTTACTTCTTGTTTTTTGTTTTGTTTTTGTTGACAGGAGTAGAAGAAAATAGTTTGGATAGCTTTGTGTTTGATACATTAATTCCTAAACCAATTAGTCAACGCTACTTTAATTTACTGATGGAACATCACAGGATTATCCTATCAGGACCTAGTGGCACTGGAAAGACCTATTTAGCCAACAAGCTTGCTGAATATCTGATAACTAAATCTGGCCGGAAAAAAATGGAAGATGCCATTATTACTTTTACTGTTGATCACAAATCAAGCAAGGTAAGATCTCAGAAAAAGAGCCATCAATGTTATACATATTAAAGAATAGCATGTTTCATTCTTTATATTAGAATTAGTTAATAACTGAATTTTAAAATATTTTTACTGGATAATAACTGACATTTTACTTGCTACTTTCATATATTCATATCTTTAATGATTTGCCACAGTATATTTGTATTCATTTTGCCATTTTGTGCTAATTTTGTCCTTCTTATCTGACATGTTGTTGGTTTGATACACCTAACACAAAATAGGGATATGATACATCTTTGCTGCTGCTGCTTTCTTGAGTATCCACGCTTATGCTTTACAACAAGATGTGATCCAATTGGTTTATATTTGACTTTTTATATGGTTAGACATAGTACTATCTGGGTCACGTAAGGAATGCATTGTCCTTGTAATCATCATATGTCCCAACTAATCTTGGAAAATACAGAATAATAGAGTTGGAAGGTCTTCTAATCCTTGGAGATCTTCTAATCCAACCCCCTGCTCAAGCAGGGGACCCCATACCATTTCAGACAAGTAGCTGCTCAGTCTCTTCTTAAAAGCTTCCAGTGATAGAACAGCCACAACTTCTGAAGGCAAGCCATTCCACTGGTTGTTTTCACTGTTAGGAAGTTTCTCTTTAGTTCTAGATTGCTTCTCTCCTTGATTAGTTTCCATCCATTGCTTCTTGTCTTGCCTTCTGGTGCTTTGGAAAATAAGTTCACCCCCTCTTCTTTGTGGCAGCCCCTTAAATATTGGAACACTGCTATCATGTTATCCCTAGTTCTTCTTTTCTCTAGACTAACCATATCCAATTCCTGCAACCATTCTTCATATGTTTTAGTCTCCAGGCCTTAATCATCTTAGTTGCTTTTCTCTGCACTCCAAAGTCTCAATATCTTTTTTATAATGATTTAACCAAAACTGGTTAAATCATTATAGGTATTCCAGATGTGCTCTTACTAAGGTTTTATAAAGTGATACTAATGCTTCACATGATCTATCCTCTGTTTATACAACCAAGGATTACATTACCTTTTTTGGCTGTTGCCGCACACTGCTGGCTCATATTTAAGTCCCTCTCACAGTTACTGCTTTTGAGCCAGGTTTCACCTACCCTGTCTTGTATATTTTGTTTTTACCTTACTTTTCTCTACATTAAATTTCATTTTGTTGGATATGGCTCATTGTTCAAGTCTATCAAAATCCATTTAGATCCTTAGGCTATAATCTGAGGTATTGGCTATTCTTGCCAGTTTAGTGAAGTCTGGAGTTTATAATCAATTATTTAATAGTTATATATGGAGTTTTTACAAGGTTCTGTTTTTATATATATATATATATATATATATATATATATATATATATATATATATATATATATATATATATATATATATATATATATATATATATATATATGTGTTTGTATGTAGGTCTTTGGTTATTCGGGTTTTCTCCCGCGTAAAACTGGAGGTTTCTTGGCACGTTTCGACGAAGTCTCATTCGTCATCTTCAGGCTGGTGTTCTCGGCTTCGTGCTTCTAGAGCATGTGTGTGATCGCAGCTGTTTCTTCAGGAAGAAACAGCTGCGATCACACACATTGCTCCTAGAAGCACGAAGCCGAGAACACCAGCCTGAAGATGACGAATGAGACTTCGTCGAAACGTTGCCAAGAAACCTCCAGTTTTACGCGGGAGAAAACCCGAATAACCAAAGACCTACAACACACACACACACACACACACACACACACACACACACATATATATACTAAAAATTATTGAAAACTACTGAAATAAATTTTTATAGGGATTTGGAGTAAGGTATTGGAATCAGTTGTATATCTTTCTCACATTGGATTAAGATGTAGCAGTTATCTGCCTGAGATACTGCAGTAGACTGGATGAGGGTGAATAAACTATAAGACAAAATTGCTTATGATGAGTGAATGAAGAACTCAAGAAGTTGAGGATTTACTTTAAAAAGAGGCACATTCTCCTAAAATGTAATTTACCTCACTTGGTAATTTATGATCCAATTGTAATCTCAGATTTTCAGATATAGTAATTGCCTTGATTTAGATTGTAGGAGATTAAAAAGTTTAAATAACAACCCAGAGCTACACTTCTTCCATATGTTGTTTAATGTCTATATATAATATGGTATTGTTAATTCTTCAGAAACCTAAATCAAATAGGTTTAGCAAGTTATCTTCATTTCTATGTGGGGTGATCCTTGAAAAGTATCCAGAAATTGTAGTTGTTGAAAAATTTAGCAGCTAGGTTGCTAATTATTGCATGTACTGTGCAGGAATCATATTATGCCTGTACTGAATTTCTTTCCAGTTGCCTACAGCTCCCGATTGACCTTTAAAATATTAGATTAGATTAATTAGATTACATTGGATTAGGTATTGATTACTTGAGAGCTCCATTCCCCCTCATAGCAACTTGCCTGATTATTCAAATTAGAAGAAAAAGCTTGAAGATCCCTCATATCCATAAACTCACTTGGTATGCCCAAAACTAAAAAATGTTCTTTCCAAAAGACTGAAGGATAAAATCTTTGTTGCAAACTGTCAGTTTTAGTTGAATTTTTATTTTAATGATTCTGACTTTAATTTTGATTCTAAGTAATACTGGTTTTCTATTTTGTATATTTAAATGCTGTGAGGTGCTACCAGGTGCTACCAAGTTTATACACTACCAAATAGTGTATAAACAAAAAAGTGTGGAAAGAAAGAAAGGAAGGAAGGAGGGAGGGAGAGAGAGAGGGAAGGAAGGAGAAAAGAAAGACCAAGACACACAAAAAGAAAAATAGAGATAAAGAAAGAGAGAGAGAAAGAGAAAGAAAGAAGAAGAAAGAAAGAAGAAGAAAGAAAGAAAGAAAAAAAAAGAAAAAAGAAAAAAGAAAGATCAGATTAGAATTCTTGAAATAATGGAATAAATATGCAGCTTAGGTATATAGATTCTTCTATCCATTCGGAAAAACCTTATGATCACATGAAATAACCTTCCTGCATTTGAATAAAATCAAATAAAAGCTCCTATTTTATTAAATTTGTGAAACCAAGGAAATCAGATTAGTACAAATCTATTGTATGCATTCAACAATATATTGTAAATATAAGCTTTGGATAAAGAAGATGCTTAGGAAAAACTGCTTTGCTTGAGACTGCCAAAATAATTTCATGACACTTAGTTTTAACAATGATACATAAATGTGAAGTTGGCAATAGAAAATATACCTGTCTTATTACATTCTTCTCCCTTTTTTGAAGGATGTTCAACAATATCTTGTTAATTTGGCTGAACAGTGCAATGCTGATAATAGTAGTCCTGACCTTCCTGTGGTAATAATTCTTGACAACCTGCACCATGTTGGTTCTTTGAGTGACATCTTCAATGGTTTCCTTAACTGTAAATATAACAAATGGTAGGTTGATTCTTTAGTCATTGGTACTATGCAGCCTCTCCCAATCTGGCAATCTTCAAAGATATTGAATTGAAGCTTTCAGAATTCCAGGTTCTTATGACCTGTTTATAAATGCAGGAAGTTGCATTTATACAGTTCATATACAGGGGGCTACGTTGAAAATAGGGAGTGGAAGAATATGAGATGAATTTAGAATAGACCCAATGAGGTTTGAGAAATATTTTGATTTCATATTTTAATGCAGCTGAATAGTCTTTTATTATACATTAAATGTATTTTTGCTCCTCCAGGCTTCCACTCCTCAAAATTGGTGATGTTACAAAACCAGTTTAAATCCAAAACATAAAGTAGAAATAAACATTTTATCATATCAATTTCAACAGAATTGCACACAGTAGTCTGCAGTTGCTTTAGATCAGTCTTGCATGTTTTAGTAATAAGTCTAGTCTTTATAACATACATATCCCTTTGTGATTTTAAGAAAAAAGGAAACTGCATGAATCTGTGCATTGAGTTTTCATAAATAGGTTCCTATGAACAGATATGTAATTTTTGTTATTCTTTGTGTGCATAAAATATGCTATTTTAGCCAAGAATTGTACTAATGAATATATAATGTATTGTATTAATCTGGAAAAGTGAAAAGTTTATTAATAAGCAGACTTAGTAAAATTCTACTTATTTATACATTTATACATTTTTACATATAGCCCCATGCTTAAGTAAGAATATTTTATTACAAAATGGATAAATTGCTTTGAGTAAATATTTCATCTTTCTCAATAAAGTAATAATTTCATATCATACCTACAGAATCATTGAAATAAACTTTAAAAAAATCACCCAGCTGAAGAATTTATAGAAAGCTATGCTAATCTTGAAAGAAACAAAAATTAATAAGTGTCAAAGTTAAACTGAGAGCCAGTTTGGTCTAGTAGTTAAGGCACTGGACTAGAAACTAGTGTAAACTAAGGTGGAATTCTAGTCTCGAAAGCCAGCTGGGTGACATAGGGTCAGTCGGTCTCTCTCAGCCCCAAGAGCTTTTTAAAAAACCTTGCCCAAAAAGCTGAAGAGACTATGCCAGGCAATTGCCAGAAGTTCAAAATCTGATCTGAAGGGGCACACACACACACACACACACACACACACACACACACACACACACACAGAGAGAGAGAGAGAGAGAGAGAGAGAGAGAGAGAGACCACACACATGAAAGAGCTTCAGTTTAATATCTGACACTTCCTCTAATGGTATCTACAGCTTAGTTCAAGAATACATTTAAGCAAACATTTGAGACCTAGCATAAGTGCGTTCAAAAGGGCTTTTCTGAAATATAAATATACATTATTTTATATTAAAACAATGTTAAAATTAGTTTTCTTAAATGTCAGTTTACTTTGGCATTATGATTACTTCATAAGCTCTTCCTTTTATATATTCAGAAATTATCGGAGTAATGTTTTATTTTTTATTTTTTTCTTTCTTTTGTGGTTATCCTTGCTGATTTTAATGCTGCTTTTATGTTTTTTTGTTAATATTTTCTTCTTATTCAATTTTCCTGGATAGTTTTTTAAATCCATGTTTGTTTGTTTTAAGTCCCTATATTATTGGAACAATGAACCAGGGAGTTTCATCATCACCTAATCTAGAACTGCATCAAAACTTCAGGTAAAGATTATTTCTCTTTCATTTCTATCATATGACTCAAGTTCAGGCTAAAGTTTTTTAGTTTTAATAAGTTCATAATTGTTGCACATTTGGTTATATAAAATCAGAAAGCGTATAAGTCTTTTTTTTTTTAATGAGTCAAATGGAATGAAAATATAATATCACCACATTTATGATTGTTTCTGTTACCATTGCAAAAGTAATGTGCAATTTGGCTTTTGTCATAAGATAGCAGAAAAGACTAAATATATTAAGTTCTAATAGCAATTTTCTTCATCATTGGCCTCAAGACATACAGTTGAAAAGAAACAATGTATTATTAGCTAGAGATATAAATGTAATCCTGTGACAGAAAATAATCTAGCTCAAAGTCTATTTACTGATAACAGCTAGCCAAATGCCAAAGGCAAGTTCACAAACAGGACATACAGTCATTATCCATCTTCAGTGATTAATTGCTAACTTCAGGCACCGAGAGAAATGGTCTGTAAACAAAGAAGATTTTTTTTGGCCTTATAAAAGACTATGTATATCTTAAATGCAGCAAATATCTTTAAGATGCACTGCATCTTAAATGCAGTGATCAAATATTTCATTTTTAGCAATTTATGATGGTGGCTGTCACATCAGCTCATGGAAACTGTAGGTTGCTGTAGGTTAACAATAGGTTTTAACAAGCACATTTTTGTTTGGGTCAACTATAAGACTTCATTGGATGACTGCAACCTTTACATTTGGATTCCATTATTTTATTGTTTTGTGTTTAGATGGGTGCTGTGTGCTAATCACACAGAGCCTGTTAAAGGGCTGTTATCCAGATATTTGAGAAGGAAACTGATTGAAGCAGAGCTGGAGAAGAATACCCGCAATAATGATCTCATCAAAATTATTGACTGGATTCCCAAGATATGGCATCATCTCAACAGCTTCTTAGAAACCCACAGTTCTTCTGATATAACCATTGGTAAGACGTTTTACAGTTAAGAATGCAAATTAAGAGTTAAAACTGACCTTTGAAGCTTATCTTACCATGTAAGCTTACTATGAATGTATCCAGCAAAATAACTAGTATCTTTTAGGCCCAAAGGGGAAAAAAAGAGTTGTGTTTGCAAACATGGTATTGTTGGATATGAATTGGATTTCTGGAATGAAATTTGTACTTAAAGAAGAACCAAAAAGTATTTAATGTCATTGATCTTAGTGTACTTTAGCCTTGAACTTATACTTTCTTATCCCATTCCACTGTCAAAAGACTTAGTTTTAACTGTGAAGAGAAAATTCAGAACAAAACAAGAATATTTCAAAATAAAAATAAAATAAAATGCATATGCTTGGAGAGCATTTTCCGTCACAGTTTTTACTTTTTTTAAAAAAATCTGGATTTTCACATTTCTTGATCCCATTAATAATGTACATTCTAATGTGGCATCAGATCAACAAGCAGCAGTTATAAGAAGCAGAGAAGGCTGAGAGGTCTAAAACTCTTTCAGATCTCTCAAGAAATCCAAGATCAGGTATTACTGTTTCAAAAGCCCTCTTCCTTCACGACAAATCTCTGTTAAGTAATCATGTGAGAAATGGTGCCCTAAGTGCAGTGGAAACTCCATCTGCATGTTTTGCAAAAAAAACCAAAACACCTTCCCTCAAGAAGAGATCAAAGAATCTTTCAGATAATTTTATGTTTCAAAAAGATTTCTTTTAATTGCTTTTTTTTCTACAAACATCCCTAAGTGGCACAACTTGTTTTGGCAGTTGCCACATAACAGCTGGCAGTTGTTACAACATTGACAAGCAAGGCAGAGAGCTGGGGTTTAAGTGTATCTAAGAAACAGTCACCTTGTTTACAGATGAAATGTCTTCAGAATTATTTCTGCCATTTAAACAAAGGCCATCTGGAACCAATGAAGTAATTGGTCTTTAGAAATACATTACCCATATTTCTCTGTCTCAGCATTCACAAAATGCCAGATGTTATAAATGTATTTTTCTAAATCCTGTGGCTGAAAAGGCTAATGCAAAAAAAAAAAAAATGTCATTGTGCTTTGTGAAAAAATGGCTGCCATCACTAACATGCAGTGAATAGCATACAAACAGTATATCTGTTGTATCTATCTGACATTAAAAAAAACTTGAATTAGATGTGCACTTTCCTTGTATAATATCCAATTTTTTTTTATACGAGGGAGACATAATGTAGAAAATAACATTATGTTTCTGTACATTACACTGAGCTGTGGTGACGCAGTAGTTAGAATGCAGTACTGCAGGCTACTTCTGCTGACTGCCGGCTGACTGCAATTGGCAGTTCAAATCTCATCAGGCTCAAGGTTGACTCAGCCTTCCATCCTTCCGAGGTGGGTAAAATGAGGACTCAAATTGTTGGGGGCAATATGCTGACTCTGTAAAACCACTTAAAGGGGCTGTAAAGCACAATTAGGGTTGCCAGGTGTCCACTATTTGAGCGGACAGTCCACTTTTTTCACATTATGTTCACTATTTTTTTTTCACAAAATAGTGGACATTTTTTTTATTCAAAAGCTTTATGATGAAATGGTATGTAATCTAAAGCTGTACAGTCTAAGAGAATAAGGATAGGAGAATCGCGTTTTGTCTTTTTTTTCATAAGTTAAAATGAGACAAAGATCGAATGCTCATTGCAATAATCACATTTTACACAACAGCGCAAAAAATGCATTAAAGCAGTTATCTTTTGATATCGAAAATGTAGTGCTGAAGGTTTTTGCCGAATTTTCGAATTCTGCGAAGAAACGAGAAGAGTTGAATCATTTTTTGAGTTTTGCGAGTCAGAATTCCATGAAGTTTTGTGCCATGTTCCAACACGTTGGTTAAGTTTGTTTAAAGTGGTCGAAAGACTTCTTTTAAACTGGATACCTCTAAAATCGTATTTTATTTCTCTTGGATCTGATGAGGGCCATAAGGTTATCTGGAACCTTATTTCGGATCAGGAAAATGAACTCACAAAGGACGATGAACCAACAATTTCAGAATTGTATTTATATTTCACGCACTTCTTCATGTCAATAATGCAAGACATCCTACTGAAGCTGGAAAGCAAGAAAATTCTTGCAAGTGATCTTCACATTATCATGCGTAAGCTGCGTGATTCTTTGCAAAAAAAAATTACGATGAGCAGTTTTTTGGAATGAAAGTTTTATTTGCCTTACGTAAAAAACATTTGCCTGAGAATGCCGTGCAAAAGTTCAAGAAAGAAGCCATCAAAGCGTATCAAAGAGCCTAGAAAAGTGGTATAATTTCACCGATTCAGTATATGAGACGCTAAATTGTTTCAATCTAATTGATTGCAATAATCCTCCAACTTTAGAAGAAATGACGAACATCCGGTTATTATCACCATGGTGAAAAGAACTTCCACCCAACACTCTCTTCGATGAAATTTCTGCCTTAGAAGAAGTTTATGTTCATCTGCAGGGCGATTCATCCCTTGATAAGTGGACGTACTTTTTCAAGAAAGAGCCAGTTCCGAGTTTACTGAAACTGTTCCAGTATTGTGCATCAATTCCGGTATCAAATGCAAACGTTGAACGAATTTTCAGCGTCATGGGAAATTTGTGGACTGACGAACGTAACCGACTGCTTGTATCAGTTCGAAGTGAACTTTGTATATTTTTTAATATTTCTCAACATTGTACTGAAATTAAAGAATTATTCCTTAAACACAAAGAATTGATCAAAGCTGCGCAGTCAAATAAAAAATACACACGACAGTAAAGTAAAATGTAATTTAATATTTTACATATTATTATAATATATTTGATGTTTTGAATTTTAAGTAAAGTTTTGAAGTGATTATTTTAATACGTGTTAAAATGTTTGTAAGAAAATATATAATTTAATTGTAATTTTTTTTTTTAATTTTTTTACTACTTAACCCCCCCTCCCCCCTGGCTTGTCTGCTATTTTTTGGAAGCAGACCTGGCAACCCTAAAAGCACTATATAAGTCTATGTGCTATTGCTATTGCTATTATGTCTCCCTCATATAAAGGGAGCAAAAAAACTACTTAAGATACTGAATGTAATCTTTCTTTCTCTCTCTCTCTCTCTCTCTCTCTCTCTCTCTCTCCCTCCCTCCCTCCCTCCCTCCCTCCCCCCCTCTCTCTCCCTCCCTCCCTCTTTTAAAAAATCTTATTTTAGGTCCTCGCCTTTTTCTACCTTGTCCTATTGATGTTGAGGGTTCTAGGGTGTGGTTTATTGATCTCTGGAATTATTCTTTGGTGCCATATATAATGGAAGCTGTGAGAGAAGGACTTCAGGTAGGATTCTAGTCAAACAGCAATCTGAATCCTTGGGGCATTATTATTCATTATTGTTTCTAAGAATTGATTTACAGAAACAATCATCATTTGCCATGAATGGGAAGCTTAATCTAATTTTTAAATCTTCCTATAATCTGTGCCCTATTATTGCAACCATGGACATCACTGTGCCTATAAATAATTTCCTTCGATCTGAAAAATGCCAAAGGAATGCAAACATATTCTGGCTATTTAATATTCAGTGGGATTCTCACTTGTAGAATTTTGCAATTCATTAATAGAAATACCTCACTTGAATGTTGCTAATCAGTGAGATAGTAAACCAAATTAGTATAACCTTGTTATATATTGTCAAGTGGAATACATAAATTGGAGGAGGGGGTAAACCAGTTACAATGGCTAAGAGTCTATGAAGCAAACACCAAAAACATATGTGTCTTAATCATTTCTTGGTATCACTGTAACTTATATAAATCCAAATTTTTTTGACCAGATGTTGTTCTTATAAATTGAACAGATTATTATGTTATTCGTAACTTATTTTGTAGCATGATGGGGCATTCAGGGTGAATACTTTCTAATAACTTGGTTCATCATGGCCATTCTAAAATGTCTTTTAATAAAATAAGTGTAGACATTTTTACTTTTCTTTTGGTATATATATTTAGATGTATGGTAAACGTGCACCTTGGGAAGACCCCTCAAAGTGGATAGCAGAGACTTGTCCATGGAGTTCACTGCAACATGATTGGTCATCATTACTTCAGTTAAGACCTGAAGATGTTGGTTATGAAGGTTATGCATCTGCCAAAGAAGGAACCACTTCAAAGCACATTCCACAGATGGAATCAGAAGGAGATCCTTTGGTAAAATAAATGAATGCTTATTGCTTTTTTAATATGCTTTATTCAGTGATGCTTTTTAATTCTAATGGTTTATTATATGCAACAGCTGAATGTAATTTAGTTACATTTATTCTACTTGCTGCTTTGGCTGCTCAGGTAAATTGGTACCAGTTTGCATGTACCCTGATACTACAATGAAAAAAAAATCCTTAATGTATAATCCCATAGTATTAAATTTAAGACTCTCCTTAGCTTAGCATTAATTCACTAAGTATGTACAATAAATCAGTGTATGAATTAGATTAAGAAGCTATCACTTCAGAATATATGAGCAAATTTATATGCCAGTCCTAAATTCTGACCCACTCTTAACTTTCAATCACACTTCATACTGAGCAAGAAAGAGAATGTTTTGTTGGGATCATAAATATCTGGGCATTCATTTACCTTAATGGTATCCCTGAATAGATTTCATTACTTTCACTGACAAAAGTGAATAGCTATGAATGAGAAAGAGGGCTCATATATTAGGAGTGTAAGGAGACACAGGCAAAAAAACAGAAGAAAATTAGAGATATGTGCATGTGAAGTGAAGATATAAAAAAGATTTATCCAGGAAAATATTTAGAAAACAGAAAACCTACAGAATAAAGAGATAGGTTTACAGGTTTAAGCCCTTCCTCCATTAGATCCTAAAAAGGTCCAGGCTGCATCAAGTCACAAAAACATTTTATTGCCAGCAGGATATATCTGGAGTGCCCAGAAGTCTCGACTGGAGGATGAGTTCCTTTCCATGACCAAGACTAGTAACTAACTCTATCTATGGTTCAACAGGTTGTAGACAGCTACCTAGCATGAGTAGCAGCTACTAGTTTGACCTTTCATAAATGTCAACAGTATCTTTTAAAAGCTGTTGTGATGCTGTTATTAATATCACCACACTTTTAACTATGTGCTATTTTTAAAGAATCTGAATCTTCCTGCATTTACTTTCAGTTGCTAAACTGAACTTTGAACACTGTTAGGAAGATATAGAAAATATTTTACTATGTTGTCTATGCTATTCATGATTTAATATCATGTCTCCATGTCTACCATGTCTCCCCATACATTCTTCCCTTCAGGCTGAGCTACAGAGTTCCAATTGCTATAGTCTTTCCTCATAGGAAATTGCTTAATTTTAACTGATTTTTTCTTCTCTCTATCCCTACTAAGATGCATTGAGCAAATTTGTGTACAAGCTTCTCACTCTTCTCCATACATTTTTGCTGCTATTGTAAGCAAGGCTTCTTCAAGCAACCATTTTCAACGTAATGAAATGAGGCTAAATGCCTATATGACAATAATAAAGCTACCTTGATTTTTCAAGGTTTAGTTAAATATGAAAAGTTGTCACAACATGATTTATTCTGGTTTTCCTTTTTTTAAAAAAAACATATTTTGGATCAGAGAAACTATAGATTTGCATTGTAAAATTAGGTTATTTTAAAATGCCACCAACAAAGCCCATTCCCTGAACACCAGTAAGAGGAAAGTTTTATAAATTCCATTATTTCAGTATGTAAACATCTTAGAAATTTCCAGTGCTCTTGAAGTTAAGTAAGATGTGCTTAAGGTTCTTCTGGAATCCAGCCTCACAGCAGTAACACAATAATATGGCATTGTTTTGTGAAGGTCAGCTCCTGGACAGCAGATGGTGCTATTGCATTCAGCCATTGACTTTCACTCATTCCACTCAATATGTATGCAAAACAGATTAGGCTTCTTTTTCTACTCCTATCATGCCAAAAAAAAAAAAAAAAAAGCCTGTTTGTTTATTTCCTTATCGTTGACTAGAAAAATGAATCATGGTTTAAATAATCCATTCTCCTTTATACTTTGAAGGTCTTACCTATTGTTTTTCCCATCCATTTAATTGTTTCTCTGCTTTTAAAGACTTAATCATAATTCAGCAGGTACTTTGGTATTATGTCTGCTCATCCTTATGATGTGGAAATGGTATGTTTCTTAAAACACACACACAAAGGCTAACATAACAATACTGGATGGAATCTGGTAGCATCTCTTTGCCTCCATGCAAAATAGCACCAAAATGTTTGTGAAACATGTATTCAAAAATGTGCATGATGAGCTTTAAAAGAGCTTAAGGCAGGAATTTCTCATAACAATGGATAATCATATAGTTACAGAAGCAAATATTCAAAGGGTGGAGAAAGCTCATGTATAAAGCTATGTAAATCAGAAGAAATTTCCTTACAAAGGAAAACGTTTTCAGTAAATGTTTTCTAAAACTGGCTCCAACAAAGGACTTGAAAACATAAATAGTTGCACATTTTTGTTCGGTTAAATTAAAAACAAGAGGTGAAATTCATTACAGTATTGCTTTGCAAATGTGAACAGTAAAATGGACTGGATTATTGTTATTCTAAATCATCTTAACTCTTGTACCAATAACACACCATACTGTATTTCTTTCTCAGATGAACATGCTATTGAGGCTGAAAGAAGCTGCCACTTACTCAAGTGCCCAGAGCTGTGACAGTGATACTGCCAGCCACCATGACGATATGCTGGACCCTTCACTTGAATCAACGCTCTAAGCGGGGCATGACTTTGGTTAGAAGATGCTGATAAACCTATACCCGTGTTAAGGGCTGCTGAGGTGGTGTGTATCTGTGCTGAAATAGCATGTGTGTGCTGTGTCATATATGGAGGCACCTGATTTAAGCAGTAAAGCAAATCAGAAATGAAAGTTGGATTTGTTCAGTTTCAAGTGGAAAGAACCTTTAACAGGGAGGCTATGATGCAGATTGCACACATAGTAGTCAAACTGGAATCACTTAGAGTCTTTTATTTTCTATCCCTGTCTTGAAAGTTTACAGTGGAAGCATTTTATGTGATACTTCAATATACTTGGAGGTGCTGCATTCATAGTTCTCCTGCTCCTCCTCCTCCTCCTCTTCCTCCTCTAACCTCTGTGGTGCCTCACAGCACATATTCCAGATTATATTCTGCTGTCCTTTCCAAAATGAGGTGGATGCAAAATAAAATAATCAGAGGGCGTATAGACTCAATAAGCACAAAACAGTATTGTGCAATTACCTTATACAAACAATACTGTGATATGCTGGATAAGTGCCAATTTGATACTAAACTGCCATATTTGCAGTGATGTGGTTCACCAAGTTTTCTGTTTGTGTGTGTGTGTGTGTGTGTGTGTGTATTGAAAAAAAAGTCACCCGTTTTTATATCCAAATTGTTTTTAACCACAGTGGTATTTTTTAAACACCTGCCCACCTCTTAAGGTTGTTGCTGTTGTTGTTAGGCAATTCTGATGCTGACTAAAGGTTTTGGTTAGGACTTTGTTTTGAGTCTTTTGGGAGGGGGAAAAAAGAGATCATTTCCTATGGTGCTGTCTCACTGCCTTAAAACCGATTTCTAGACAATGTTACACTTGGTTTAATTTGTTTAAACCATTGGTTATTTACACTGTTTCCTTTCTTCATTTTACTAATGAGAGAGCATCAGTGAACACAGTAGCCTTGTGTTTATATATCAGATTTTTTTTAATTAGGTGGCTAGAAGGATGAATTATTAATATAGATATAGATATATTATTTTTAATCTTCTGTGAATCAATGACCTACCATCCTAAAACATTCAAATGACCCAGAAGCTACTCCTAGTTAACTATGAATGGAAAAAAAAAAAGTCCAACATAGTTATTTTTATCCCATTAGGAAAAGAACTTAATTAAGACAGAAACAGAGATGTGTGACATTTTATCCAGCAGAGCTGGGTGTGCACCTGAGTTAGCATGAGCACAAATCATTCTTGGTTTTCGTCCCTTCTCTTCCTTCCCCCATTTGGAGCATGCTATTTTAATTGCAGTTGTTGTACATGAAGAAAGTCAGCATTACAAAAACACTGACACAGTGCTATTCACTGTGCAAGACAGAAATGTTTTTACTGTAAGAAGGGAAAGTGGGGGGTGATTTTGCACAGTTTATTGGGAGGGTATTGTAAATACTGAAAAAAAAAAGTGTTGCACAAATAAAAGCAAACATAACAGCGACAGCAGCAAAAATACAAAATTATACTTTATTCTATTGATGTGAAGAAATGTTTCATTTATGAAGAATACCCATATGTTGTAAACAAAGCAAGAGGGCAATCAGTACTATCTGTTTTTTTAAAAAAGACAGATAAACCAGGTATGTTTGTCCTGTATTTAGAACTGCCATCACAAGTCCTGAGCTATCCTTGCTACAATGAATATTTGCACTCTTTAAACCAATCTAACTTTGCAGGAAAAAAATAGACATTATCTATCCTGGCGGGATATACCAAAAACCCAATCAGAGTAATTGGAGATATTGGTTAAAATTAACATAAAATATCTAAGGGCTATAGCATTCTATAGGCACATACTTCAACCCTTGTCTTGAAAGGGCTCATGTGGAGCACATCTACTCATAACCATAGGACATACGCCAATGAAATACTTTCAGGATACATATAGCCAGTGGATAACTTCAGGACACGTAAGTGGTGCTACTAACTCTTGCAAGAATATATTTTGCAAAACAAATATTAAAAAATCAATGCAATTTTCCTTCTTGCATCAGCCGCAGGTCTCCTGCATGGTGCTATTGCCCTAATAAGAAAGTCTGCTTTTATGCACAAAAAATGTACTCAGATTGATTTCCAGCAGCAAATATTAGCTGACTGTCTCATACTGTTAAGCAGCATGCCACTCTGGAAAATGACTAAAACAAAAGCTGCTCCTTAAGATTGATGTAGTCTAAAACAACATCTAAGCCCAGGAATTCCTGCCATTTTCAATACACATGCACACATCCTGTATGTATATACTACATAATACAATTTTCCCTGCAATACATTTCAGTGAATCCACCTAGTTTACAACTTTAACAAATTTGTTTGTGAAGCATTTGTCTGTATACATTTTATATTTTGTACATTTTTAATGTAACATATTGTGTAAATAGACAGAAACAGTGAGATAAATCATCTGAAAAGTTTTGTAGTCTTTGTAAAGCCCTAATAATAAGTATTTGGTGTCATCAGACTTAACTGGATGATGTATTTTATATTGATTTATTGTTCTTCTAGCTTGTAAACCAGCTTGCATATATTTTTTGCAGGTGTGCACACTGTATCTGTCTAAATTATTACTTTGCCATTAAAGTGGAATTATTTATTGACAACTGAGTCTGCTGTTTTTAAACTCCAGAGGAAATCAGCCTTTGATTCCATTGTTAGGGGTAGGCTATGGGAATAACTTGAGAAAACCATTACAAATATTAGACACATCAGGTTATTTATTGATTGAATTGCTTTCTTACCTTACTACAAGGATATGAGCTAGCCAACTGGGGATCCTTATCTGACCCTATTTTAATAAATGGATCAGTCAAACAGGTCTATTTATTTGCTCCTATCACATTTAATTTGCATATCAATTATAGTGTTTCAGCCATGGAATGAAAATCATTTTGTCTCCTGGCTTAATAGGTACAGAACACTCAATTTAATGTAGGTTGATAATATATGGTGTTTATATCATGATATATGTTGAAATTTAGAAAATTGTGGGTTAGGCTGGCTGATTATTATGAGAGGAAAAAGCTGAGGATTAACTACAAGCAAGCTACACAGCAGAACCGAACATACATTGTCAGTTAATATCCAGTATTGCCTGTTCCTTAAATATAGTATTTGGATGTCCCTTTCTAGAAGCCATTAACTGGAAGGTAAATCTTAATCCAGTTTTAACTCATTGGGTATATTCTAAAGTTTTTCTATTTTAGTGGAGATCAGGAGTTAAATTACTCCTGCAATCAAAATATGCCAGGAAAATAAAATTCCACAGTTTCCGTATTGGAAGGAGTTTTTGGAATGGAATTAGAATATATTTGTGTAACTGGAAATAGTCCAGAATATGTTAAGGAAAATTCCAAGTCTTTGACAGGGCTCTCTTGCCACACATCTAAAACTCATATCTGTCAATCTCTATAAGAGCACCGTTTATAATACACATTTTTAAAAAACTGCCAGGTTCCCAGATAGTCATTTTGTTAATTTTTTCTACTGGCAAATGAAGGGTAAATATGTCATATTGTGATATTACACTTCTTTCTATCTAGAGGAATTAAATCCTTGAATAAAGGATTTCTCAATGACTTTTGGAATGGATTGCTATCAAAGACACAACGTTGTTCCAATGCTCAGGATTCTACCTTTGATATCCTCAGTTTAAGCAGATATTTTTTTACAGGTCTTAGACTCACCAGCAGACCATTATATTTCCAAACTATGTCCTTAAATCTAAATTCCACAAAAGTCTGGGAAGGGATTTATATGTAACAAGCACACACACAAAAAATAGAATTTGGACTATGACATTCTTTCTGTGGCTGAATTGGACAAGAAATTGCTACAAATAACATATAATCTGTCATTTTAACAGCACTTTAAAAAAAAGCTGGTTTTAGGCAAGGAACATTGCTCTGTCTAGTATCATCATTGCTAAGACAAAAGTGACATTCTTATCTCTGTCTTTTTTCCGACATTGCTCAGTGACAATAATTGTACAAAAAGGAACAGGGAGTTAATCAATTTAGAGTCCCCATCCCATTCAAATTGGAATCGGACATTTTCTGTATCTTGTCTTTTCTTTCAAAATTAAACTACTACCAATATCAATGATTAAAAATATTTCAAATTTCAAATGCATGTCCACATTTTTATTTACATTTATTAGAAGTTTTTCAAAAAGTAAAAATCCAATCAAAATTTTAAAAATAATGGAAGGAAAGACATACAAGAAACAAAGAGGAGAAAGAAAAAATATTTAATTGAAGAAATATTACGATTTGCTACCTTATTTTCAACAGATAATTACAATTGAGTATTCCTTCCTCTCGGTCAGATATTATCTAAGTTCCTTCTGCCCTTCATTTAGTCTACATCTTTATTAACCTTCAATATGTAAATCTTCAAGTCTTTTGTTCTTCTTTCAGCAAAATGTTGTTTCCATGACCAGACAGGCTTGTTTGCCATTCTGCAAATTATATATACAATTTTTAAAATTTGTTTTGTCTTCTAGTACTCAAGTTTTGTATTAGTTTCAGGGTATATTGTTTCAGTTCTGTTGTACTTTATGTCTCTCATTTTATTTTGTTTTTAGCTCATTTTATTTCTGCTCTAAATCATGCAATTCCATTCTTCAGGCATTCACTTTTGGAGTCTGCAAAGCTTGTACTCTTCGAAAACATAACAAGAACTGTATTGTCTAAAATAGACATATTTCTGATAAGTGTCAAGAAAAGCCAAGGATGCCAGAGTTACTAGTTGAGATGCAAGTACATAGAACACAAGAAAGTACAAAAACAATAGCTAATCACTTGACTTCAGAGGGGTCTTGCAAGTGGTAATAAGTTATTCTTTTTCCTGCAGAGTATATAAACCTTAACAAATTAAAATAATATTTAGTAACAATTCATATTGCAGCTCTTAGGTAGAGTGTATTCCTAGTGAAAGATACTTAAAAGCAAGCTGAACACATGCATAGTCTTTTGATTCCAACACTTCATACCTGAAAGCAGATCACAAGCAATTTATGTTACTTTTCAAAAAAATAAGTTATGGCAAAATTATATGGCTAAATGCCCTCAGGTATTTTAGACTTCAACTGCCAAAAGTGCCAACCAATTTATGAGAGGTGTAATTTAGTTGTTTGCTAGAAAGCCCCCACACAAATCTTATCAACATTAATACTAGCAACAATGAAACTTGGACTTCTACACTCAAAAAATTGGAAAGGCTGTGAAATGCATTAATCAGAAATCAGGAAAGAAAGATGGAAACTTTTATATCTGAAATTTGGGCCAATAAAAAATAGTTGGTTGACAAGATAGCTCATATTTTATTATTGCTATTTTCAGAAAAGTTAAGGAGGTGCTCCAATAACTGGACAGCAAATAATCAGTTTTCTGGGAAATAGCAAAATGAAGAGATTTATCAAAAAGGAAAGAAAAAAACACCTAAATTAGCTCAATCACTGACAATTACAAGAAATTGCAATCTATGAAATGGGGGAAAACCCTTGAACTAGATTTGGACATTATGTATTTTTTATGTCAGTGTTATAAAAAATGTGATTCTTTTAACCTATATGTTGTTGACAAGCTCATTATATCACTACAATTTCAGTACAAGTTGGGGAAGAAATTACAGCTAAGGACTTTAATGTGATGTTGAAATGTTTGAAATGTAGGGCGGTATAGAAATTTGATTAATAATAATAATAATAATAATAATAATAATAATAATAATAATAAAGTTGAAAATTGTCATTTCATAAATTGCTTTGTGAGCCTGTGGCACAGGAAATATATATAATTAGAAAGTAAATTCTCTCCTGATTTTGAGGAATGGCTCCAGGATGTGAGTCTATTATTTATTTTTGAAAAATCTGTGTGTTCTAAAAACAAAAGATAATGCTATTGTTGGTATATAGTTTTAATGGTACGCTTTAAAGATTGAATAGGCTTTTCATTATTTGTATTTATATTGTTATTTTTCTATTTATTTTCTTTAACACACACAAACACATATATAAGCATATATACATGCATACACACACACCTATACTGTATATATAGTGTGCATGTGTGTGTATGTATGTATATGAGCATGTGTGTGTATATCTATATATTTCACTTTACGATGTCTACAAATATGTATTTTTCTGTTGATATTTTTTATTAGTAACTTTTAAAAAATGTAATATAGATAAAGGAACATACCGTACATGTTCCTAATGTCTCTTTACAGCTTCTCTAAAATGTTACAGTTCAATAGCCAATTGTCCAATTGCATTTGTATAAATGCATATCTACCTTGTTACTTATTTTCCTGTTTCTGTATATTTGTCTGATATTGCACATATTGCAAATTCATCTATAATCTGGATACTGGACAATAAAAGTATTTTTCTACAAAATAAATATGTCAATTATTTTTTGTTCTCAGATTTGCATATTCTGCCAGAATTAAACATAGTTCCCTAGATGATGGGACAGTCTTTTTAATAATTACATGTTTTCAGTGTTAAATATTGTTTCAACATGCTGTAGCTAATAAAAAATATTACATGAATATTTATTTTTATTAGCTCATGTAAATGTATTTTTTGCAAAAAAAAAAAAAAGGAATCAGAAAATGGAATCTATCATAGAAAATAAAGTAAGTGAGGAGTAGGCCATGCAAACTACTTATTACTTTGAATTGCTTTTCTATATTCCTCATTTAATTGTATTTTAAAATGAACACTGACAAATATTTCTAAAGCATATTGTTGCCAAGGGTAGGTATACCATATCTGGGCTGGATAAAAAAACCACCATTAGATAGTAGCAAAAATATTAAGAGGCTAGATAATGGTAGTCCTAACCAAGAGCATTCTTCTTCTAGGTCTCTGATTGCTCAAGCAATATAGCAATCAGATACGGAAGCATTTTCAATTTTAAAAATTGGTCAATTAGTTCTAATTTATAAAGTTACTAGAATAATTCAGTGAAAGGGGCATAAATAAAGTTATAAAAGACATAAAGAGTCAATGCTGGCAACTTTCCAGTCTACAGATCAAATCTGGCTGCTCAAACTTTGATCATTCATTATCCTATATTACTTGACATAAATATTGTAGCCCTCAATAATCTTTATATTGTTTCCATACTCAATATAGTATAAGTACCCTCTAAATTGAAGTTTCACTCTCTGATCTTAGACAACAAATTTGTAGCTGTCATAACTTATAAATTTTGTTTCCATCAACTATAATAAATGCACTTCTTTGAGACTGGACTACTATTACTGTGGAGGTCCACATGTAAATTTGTCACTTGAAATAGGATCTAAAGCTACATTTCTGGGTTGGGCTTTTGTTTCCATTAATTCTTTCCTAAAAAATTATTTTCTCCTAGGGAAAAAGTATAGCCTCAAACTGATATCACAGCAGAGGCTTAGCACAATCTCTTTTAATATCTGGACCAGAAAAAGTCATAGTAAAAGTAAAACAGTGAGTCCTTGAGTTGGATATGCAGAACAATGAACCCAAATCTCAACTTTGTACATAGAAGCCAATGTAGCAGAGCTTTTGCTATATCTAATTATCTTTACACCATTCTTTTTGTTTCATACA